AGTTAATGGTTAATATTCATGGTCTGTCGTTGCTACTATGTGCGAAGTGTGTCGGTGATGTAGCAGTATAATCCGTGCTCGTGATCACTGCAGAAACCATGGTGCGTGCCACGGTATACAGACAGGGTGCGTAATAAGTCATCTTTTTCAAAACCAAGTTGAAGTTTTGAGCTTTTTCAACCTTGTATAATAATGAAATATTAGTAGGTACAGTCGACTCTCATTATAAAGAGGTTCTGCTTATAAAGAGCAAATTCTGAAGTCCCAAATCTCAGGTTCTCTTTGTGTTTCTTTGTTTCGCTGTCCTTTTATAACAACATTCCTGTTATAAAGAGGTAATTTGGCTAGTCCCATCGACCTTGTTATAACGAGAGTCGACTGTTTAACCTTGTGTGAAAAAATGAAGTTAGTCGCATTTACCATACTCTTTTGTGGACCTTTTTACTGCGGTGCCCGATTTAAGTTTTTGTCCACGAGGCATCAGAATTTTGCTAAAGAGCGGAAACAGTACAATAAAGACATTATAGACAACACATATTTCAAACTGACTGAAACTTGGCTGACTCACCCTTGTGCTGAGCACAGAAATCCGCTAAGGACGGAAAATACTAGCTCAGCGGCTAGTAACAGGTTATGCAGTCAACAAAGTGACATGCTATAATGTAAAACGTCTTCTGACTGGTTCACGGATATTTTTCTAACTGGATCACGAACTTTTGGCCCAGGTTAAAGTTTCCGGACATATGTAACTTGGTGTGCACTCGTGATGGCCCCCAGTCATGGCGGAAGCATTGTGCCTCACTGCATGTATGATAATATCCCCCCTTACTCATTATGAATTAAACAATCCCTTTTGTATTATCGACTTTTCTCTCAGCCCGTCGATTTTGAGATACCTGTCTACTCGGTACACCCACCACGCGGGCTACGGTGAGACGACCGCGCAGCAAACGATGGTCGAGTCGCTCATCAACTGGGCACACGCTGATTTACACAGGTAATATAATCTTTTTATGTAAACAAACAACAATGTACAACACTGAGGGCAGGTTTTGTCATATCATGAATATACAAAGTGTCTCTCATTCATATCAGAGACAGCCTCGACTCCATGGGCGCGTGCACGTTCCTTACACTAACGCGCAAGGCATGATGGGAAAGAACATGGCGCAGCAAGATCGTACCTATGGGGAACGAGGTTGTATCAGAGATGAACAATGGCCTGTCCTCAGGTGTGACATCAGACGCAAAGGGTCTGTATCTTGCTTGCCATAATGAAGAGATTCGCAGGTTCGCACGTCCCAAGGGCGCGGTATAGACCTGTGCGCAGGAAATGCACGTGCACCGTTTAATGGTTAGCAGACTTTTGAGACGCTTGCGGCAGTAAACACAACGGTCCTTTTTTGTTTACGTCATGTTGAAGCTGCGCATGTTCAAAGTGACGTAAACCTGAACTTGAAAAGGACCGGTGCATTTGCTGCCACCAAGCGTCTCAAAAGTCTCCCAATGGCCAATTACACTTGACCAATGCTTTGTGGCACGTGCGTTCCTTCACATGATTTTGTGAAAGAGTTAAGACAAGCGAGCCCTAGATTCAGACTACCCAACCCTAAAATTTCCTAAACATACCTCACTTCTGGACCATTTCAGAATAGTCGGGTACCGCTGCGCATACCCTCAAGTCTTCGAGGAGTTCCAACTCGAAGGCGAGTCAGCCACCGAGGTCCTGATTGAGACGGGCATCAAGCGGCTCACCCACTACCTAGAGCGCCTGGAGAAACGCTACCTAGGCCCCACCAAGTTTCTGTGCGGTGACGCGCTGACGATAGCGGACTCGGCTGTGGCGACCGTGCTTCTGCAGTCCGAGTGGATGGGGTTCTCGCTGCGTCTGTGGCCGCGCGTGGCAGAGTGGATGCAGGCGGTCTGCAAGCAGGAAAACTGGGAGGAGGTGCACGGGGCCCACGCGGCGTTTGTCGGCCAACTGCGGGCTGGCATTTTATACCCGACCTCGGATAGTTTCGGGACTAAGGATTCGGCCACGAGCTAGGACATCGCTGGCCTAGTCTTTAGGAGTCAAACTCTTGAGTGACTTTTACTGCATTAAGATCAAAACAGATCGTCTCTCGAAACTGAATTTGCATATTTTGTGTGCTGTGCACTTTACTTCTTAAAAAAAAGTATAGGTGTGTTTTTAACTATAGTTTTAGTAACAACAAATCCCTTCGATTGTATGTTTTTGTAATGAAACAACTCCTAAACTACTCCTTGAAAATACCATTACAAAATGAAACAACATTATAGTTTGTTTACCTTTTGTACATCGTACTCTAATTACTATTAGTATCAATATTATTATTATGTTAATTGATCAATCGCACGGTCAAATGTATGCCAATAATGGTTTCTTAAATTTATCAAATTAAATATGATTTATCCAATAACTGTCCAAACTCCATCACTTCTTAGTTATTATGAATTGTAATGAATTGTCTATATTGTCTCAAGCTAGCGAGGTTTTCCCCTATAGAAGAAAGAAATGAGGTATAAGAATTCTGTGGGAGGCCCGCCAGGTAGCTTTAGCCCTTGCGTAAATCCGCTAAAATAGTGCGGGCTCTATCCTTCAAGTGTTTATTGCTCTGTTATTGGCCATTATAGCACTTGGACTACTGCAAAATGGTAGTTTGTATGTCAAGTGGTGCACTTGAAGGGGACTCGCTTCATACTTCGGGATATATGCACATCCCAGTTTCTATTGCGATGTTATTGGGGTTATTCCCAAGTTCCAATATTGACTCGATGATATTGGGCCGTGCGTCGGGCTCAATAGAAATCCATATCTGGTCAAGTGATATGGTTGCTATCCGTACACAAAGATAATGCACAGTTGCTAGCCTGTGATGACCGCGTAGTCTAGTTATAGAACTACATCATCAAGGGAGAGCCAAATTTGTCGAGCACTGATGGGCAGACAGAGTGTACAGAGCTATAGGTGTGGATAGTTGGTGTCTGATGCCAATTCTCTTAAGTTTGCAATTTCAATTCTGAACTTACTGATGAGGTAACAATTTCGTATCAATGTGTAACGGCTTCGGATCTGTGGGTTTAGGCCACAGCTTGTATATAAATAATCAGTGGACAGCTACAGTCATCTTGATGGCATGTTTTATAAAGTAATGGTGTCGGACGTTCTGGAAATAACTCTTTGCTTGTGGATGGAAACAGATTCATAAGGCTCATCAGATTGATGTTATAGTCTTTGAAAAAAAGATGATGCAGAACTCTCTTCAGTCAAAGCAGTCATTCGTCGGCTGAGTGAGGAATTGAAAAGAATTACATTTCTACAACAACAACAAAACAATTGAATTATAAGATGTCTGTCAGCAGCGTCCAGCAGCCAGGCAAGGGAGTCGTGGACTCGCTTCGAGTCGCCATCAAGCCAAGCGACCTCTCCCACGACATGACCAAGAGCGCGAGCGAACGGAACGGCTCGAGCAACGGGAGCTCCGACGACCGGAAGACGTCTACGGAGGAGGACGAGGAGGAGGCCTACCGTTTTTCGATCGGTTCGCTGGTTCCCGTCTCTATGGTCCGGTCCTTCTACGAGCTGTCCGCGCTTGGAGGAGATGGGAGGATGGTGCAGTTTTCCCGGTTCGAGGGACGCGTCACGCTGGTGGTTAACGTGGCCACGGGAGACGAGCAGGCTACCAGGGAATTTACTCAGGTAACTGGGTTATGGGTTTACGACACCCCCCCCCCCCCCTCCCCCGGCTCCATCTCTGTTTTCGTCTTCTTCTGCGAGATTCATAAGAATCCTACTTTTAAACTTTGAAAATACATTAACCATATTGACCCAATGTGACAGCATTGTTTCTATTGTTTCTATGCTAAAGCAGAATGAACCAATATTGGTCCAGAATTGATCAAGTCGGGGGGCTAAAAACACAAAGATGGGGCATGAAGACGGAGACGAAACCAAGCATTCGTAATCACTAAAAGTTGAACTTCTCTATGGTAAAACATGCACGCTGACTGTCCTTTAAAAATAGCCCAAGATAAAAACCCTGTCAAATTTCCGCGGATAATAGTTTTCAAGGACACAAATCGGGCAGTATTTGGTATAGGATGATAAAATTAATGTCATCTCATGCTAAACAAGAAAAAAGAAGGCTGAATTATTGCATGCGGACGCATTATTAGTGACATTTCTCAGTGGTCCATGTTTTTGTGTATAATTATGTGCATTATGTTTTGGGAGGGAGTGGGTGGGGGTGTACAGTAAGAAAAAGAAAGGACCACTAGTGTGGGTAATGGCACGACTTCAAGATAAACCGGTCCAAAGGTATATTCAGCGGCAATTTATTTCCAATTGTTTTGTATCATGAACACAAAATCAACTGCGCGAACAATGATATCGCGGCTGTAAACAACAATTAATTATTATTTCACACAAGCCGGCGATGGCAGTTGAGGGTTAAATAAAGTGCAGCTCAAAATGAAATCGAAGATTGACTATGAAAGATTTTTTTCTAAAAGGAAGTTTACCTCGTTTCTGCGGGAAAATGCAAAAAAAGTTTCTAACATAAAGAGGGGAAAACATTTCATTCAATGTAGTTGCACGGGTACGGTCGGTTGTTATATACCGTCCACATTCAATATATGTACATTCAAACCAGAGATCTAACAGATTGTAAAAGGCTATGGGTTTTCCACCCATTCCAAAGGGATTTACACAGTTAGTGATATCAGCGCATCAGATTGTCATCATGGGCCTTTTCACTCTGACGTAAAAGTCCATCCCATTGGAATGGGTCCCATCCCATTGGAAAAACCCATAGCCTTTTATAGTCTGTTAGATCTCTGGTTTGCACGAATGGATTTCCATGGCATTTTCCCCCTTAATATCGTCGCTTTGCTCACGAAGTGACAAAAACCTCGAAAATCGATAATTATTCCATTTTGAGTTTTACTAGCCATTTTATTATAGTTGTCTCAAGGAACAATTTGACCAAGTTTCAAGGCAAAATATTGTTTACTTTCTTAATTATTGTAAACAAACAATTGACAAAAAGCCTGAAATCGGTGATTTTCATTTTCACCAAGTGTAAAAATGTGTAAAATGTTCTCACGAAGTGACAAAAAGTCACTTCGTGAGCAGGGCCAGAAATTATACAATGGTCTACACGCGGAAGGATGGGAGCATACACGCGCGCGGCGAACGATGTTGAAAAAGAACAGACGCGCGCGCGCTCAACTGTCGTGACGCGCAAAAGTAACAAGTTTGTTGCGTCGAAAAAAATCCCACGAAGTGACAAAAACTGTGTACAAAGTAATTAGCAAAATATGGGACCCAAAGTTTTGATGTTCTCACGAAGTGCAAAAAAGTTTCATTAATGAATTACTGTTTAATTACGAACTATTTTTAACAAACAACTATGAATTAACAAAGAGCAAATCATTTCCTATTGGACAATGCAAAAATTTCCGAATTCTGTTACTGCAAAGTGGTCGAAAATGTCTTTTGAAAAAATGAATAACTTCAAATGCGATTATCTCAGAATGAACTTTTGTCAAATTTTTAGGTTTTTGTCACTTCGTGAGCAAAGCGACGATATTATACACAAGCGCAGCGTATAATAATATGCTCCATCAAGATGAAATACTCATGTTAAGTAGTTTTGAGAAATTAAAGGATATCCGATTGCACAACTTTTTGGGGGGCACCTTAATTGCAGTGTGAATTTAGTACTCTGATAGCATTGCGCATGCCTAAGTGAAGATAGCGAGGAGAGTGACCGGTCACGTGAAAGGGTTTAATCAATTATAGGGTAAAGGAGTCCAGATTTCATATGAGCCCGATTTTCATATGACACCGGTTCATATACTTCACGCGAATGCCCAGATTGAAATTGATGCAAATGTTTTGTCCCCGCCGTGTAGATTGCCGGCCACAGTGCAACAGGCCTATATCTAGTCACATTTGCATTTTGTTTTCGTTCATTACGCAGATGAATGAGTTCGTCAGCACCTACGAGAGCCGTGGCCTGAGCATTTTAGCCTTCCCCTGCAACCAGTTCGGCAACAGGGAGCCATGGGATGACCACGAGATACCGCTCTGCCTGCGCCACGTGCGTCCCGGCCGAGGCTTCGCGCCAAAATTCCACCTGATGGCGCGCTGTGACGTCAACGGGGCGCGCTGCCACCCGGTCTTCGAGTACCTGAAGCAGCGGGTTGCAGGCTGCAGTGACGATCACTCCCCGACCATCAGGAGCCTGCGGGGCCGCCTGCTTCCGCCTAAATCTCCCGACATCCGTTGGAACTTCGAGAAGTTCCTAGTGGGCCACGAGGGGAGGCCTTTCAAGCGGTTCTCCTCACGGACGCCGATGAGGTCGCTGTCGGGGGATGTGGAGAATTTGCTGCGGAGGTCGAGCATTGCGATGCAGTCATCAGCCAGCAAGTACGGTGGCAATAGATTCGTTCACTATGACCCTGGACAGGACAAAATACGGAAGAAGAGAAACTCAGCAAGAGGCAGCGATGTATCATAAATTATGTAGGCCTAATCTTTCAATCATCTGATATGGTTAATGATGATGTCTTTCGTTGATAATGTGACTCAAAGACGGTGATAGGCGTCCTATCAAACCATATTGGATTTCACCCACGCCCCCGATCCCAAGGCGTCATATATTAACTTTATCCAACATGGACAAAGAGATAGAAGATAAAATTGCTCTGGAAACGAGTGGCTCTGTGGAACGACACAACTCCCCCTTCGGAAAAGTGTATTGGGGGGGGGGGGGCCGAGGGGACTCAAAATGTCTGTAATTCTACGGAATGGTTGTCGAATGACCCTGAAAGAATTTGTAGCCTACAGAATTAAGATTTCTTTATTTGCTTTAGAGCTACGCCCAAGACCCTGCAAGAATTCATGAGGCTGTTTGTTAATTAAACAAGTCTGCAGGGTAGGGGGGGGGGCGAGATGGATGTACGAGAGTGGATTTTAAGAGAATACAAATAATTATACTAGAGAAGGTTTGCAGTATTTGGAATGTCTTTAGAGAAGATGTGTATACGTGCGGTTCTGAAAAGAACCCAAACTCGACGTTCCGATCAGTATTCTCTGATCACCTTCTGGAGAATGTCGGACTGGTGGCACGGGCGTCGCTACGGGGGGATGGGATGTCGCACCCCCTCCCCCCATTAAACAGTTTTGTCGGCAAAATCATGGTACTGTCGGCAAAGTAAAAAATGAAGAATGGATAAGGAGGGGGAAAGGAAGGGGGAAGCAGAAAAATGGAGAATGTAAATAATAAACATGCACCGCTGCTCAAAACTCTGCGAAGCTAAAATCCGGTTCTGCAACCGATGGCAAAAGATTGTACATTCTGTCATGTTGGCACGATCCGAGCTGCCGCGCGAGGTCGCTTCACATACGGCGGTTGACAGCTACAGCTGCTGTGCAAAACACAAGCTCGCTCGCAGGCAGTTACGAATTGTAACTGATTCTTAGTGACGACTCAAAACCATGGATCAAGCTAAAGAGGTCAAGCAACAGTTTGATGTGCATGATGTTTGTGATCATCTTTGATGACCCACCCCATCTAGCCCCCTCAACCCGAGCACATTTCATTCAAAAAGTCAGGGGAAAGTGGCCAGGAAATGCCTCAGATTGCACCACAGAAAGTCTAGAATTCAAAAAAAAATTCCGGGGCCCTTAAGCGCTAAGCGGCCCCAGACCCCACGCCTTCATGAGGACTTCGCGCTCCGCGTTTGCAAATCAAAAGTTCCACCCCCCCCCCCCATTCCCATCCTGGGTTCAGGGACCGGCCTGAACAAGGTATGCGCACACGTACTGAGCATGTACACCCAGTTTTGCGACGATCAACCAACCATTTCTTTTCAGAACCGCACATCTTGCCAAAAGAGATTTCCATGGTGCAAACCTTCAGTAGTTCATTCCACCACCAAATCTGTTTCAAATCTGTAGTAGCATACAAATAATTTGTGATATTGTTCATAATCACAAGTAATGCACATACACACAACGTGTGCATATTATGTCTTTTTATCCTGTCGTATTTATACTAAAAACGAAAACCCCAAGAAAATGCTGAAATCGAGGATGGATTGCGCTGTCTTTCTTTTTGTACCTAAAGAGCTCTGAATTTTTGCGTGGTTATACGAAGGTGTGATGCTGACAGGTACGTGGGTAGGGGAGATGTGTAATGGGTATTATAGGGTCTGTGACCTTGTTAGCTACCTATTATTCCACGGTATAATAATCTGCTGTAAATCAAACCAGAAAGGCAGTTTTTGAAAAAGAAAATAAAACGTAAGAAGGCTGTATTTGGATTCTTAAAAAACCTCCAATCAGTTTTCCGAGTCTCTAGGAGGAGAACTGCGACTTCGTTCTGTTCATCCTTACAGTCCATCAGGTTTATCATCAACAGAGGGCGTTCTTTCACAACATGGAGCTCAGTACTCCATATCCAAGTCCCTGTCGTGGAATAATTGAACCATTTTCAGAACAGCCGCTTAACATTAAAGGATGGAAAGTTTCACCCACAATGACTGACGAAGTATGCATTTTCTTCACACAAAAAATAACCTGGGCTTTGTGATGCGCAAGAGATTCTGTCACTGGCTCGATCCCTTCGATAGAAGAACGGGCCCGTACGGGTAGCCTGGCCCTTCACAAGCGATCAGCCCTTTTTTTGCCTTTTAGTGTGCGGATCAACCGCCACCGATTTCTCAATAACATAATTGTTGTTTTATTTTCATTAACTGAGTATTGTGTGTTTGAAAAAAAGCATTGGAAAGAAATAACGGAATCACATGAAACGACGACAACTTTCTGGCGATAATTATTATCACATCATGAGCACCAGCAGATTGGTCTCTAAAGAGCATTGAGGGCGCTATACGGCAGTACCGCTAATTATTCACTTTATATCGGCCTGCGCATCCATACACATACGAACTGATCAAAAAAGAACGAGAACAATTTTGCCCAGCCAAAAATACCACAGAGTTAGATTGGCCACATGGAATTTGGGCTAGGGGAACCTTGATAGTACTGAATTCAAATAGAAAATATTTATGAGGTCGTTCACGCAAAATTATCAATACTCGTGGTATTGAAATATATTTTTGTCAACTTTCAACACATAAAATGATAATTTACCATAACTTGGGCAACAGGATTGGACTGTAGGCCCTAACTCATTGCATTTTAAATTTTTATGTAAAAAACTAATATCGTCACCGGCGGTACATAAAACAAAAGACCACTTCTGCTATGTTTAATTTAGAATAATTTTAATGTCATAGGCCAACTGCCGCTTTCCAACAGCCTTCAAACTGCACTCAAGTAAAGTGGCTCCAACAATTCATCTGGTGATTTATTGCAGGAAAATGCATTTTCCCCCCATTAATTATAGCAACAACACCGGCCATGCCAACACATCTGCGGGTCCGTTTCTATGAGACGCCGAAATGTCATTTTGACTGCGCTCTAGTCTGTTCCCCGTGCACAGTACACTTCTCATTTCAACTGACTCGTCACAGGGTATCCAAGCACAGAGTCTGGGGACTATATTGCTTGTTACCACGAGAGGGCGGAGTCGCATTAACATAATCTTCTTTGGATAAATTTCCCGCACCGCGCGGTCGCGATCTTGTCTGGTGCTGAGACGGAGGCCAAAAGACTCGCAAAAATCGATCGGATGGACACCATAATCACCCAGCCTAAATAATTGATTTGGTAAGTAATGAAATTGATTGTGTTGTGTGTTGTGCCTGTGGTGTAACCTTTCGAAAAGGATATGGATTTTTTATGAAAGACCGCGCGTTAGCCATGTGTGGAGGTCGGGTATTCGTGGAGGTCGGTTCGTTGTTCGTTGTTCGCGATGGTTGATCGTGCACGACATTTTTGATGATGACGGAGTTGTCGTGGTGGTACTGACATGTGCATTCTTGTCTGCTAAGATATTTGGAGAAAGTGTAAAATAATGGCGTTGTTTGGGTATGTTATTGTTATCCATATCTGCCAGAACTTAAATAATGTAGGGCCTACTGTTTTCTTTCCTTTTTCAAGTTTTGACTAGAGCAAGCAGCATGTGAAAATTATAGGACATTCAATCCCGGCTGGCAAAATAATCTTAAAATTTGCAAAGTTCTTATGACCTATTTCAAATCTTTGTGAAAAAATTTCATAAGGGATGAAATTATGCAGCCCTCAAAACCAGTTATAAAATATTCCAGTTGGTGGGGAATTTAAAGAAATAAGGATGAAATTTGACACAAAAACTACTTGGACCAAAAGCGATCAACCTGCAGGACACCGAGTGTTAAATTTCAATAGAATATCACTTTTTGTACACATTTGACTGTAAAGAATGTTCTGCATATCTGAACATAATGTTACCTTCTGCTATTTTTCCCGCTGATTTTTATTACTAAAATATAAAAGGTATTGAGGGGACCATTCAATGATTCATGCACTCATAATTACAAAAATAATTTGCTTACTTATGACCTTCTATTAAGATATTGTTTTAATTTTAATTCTAAATCAAAAATGCTGTTATACAGAAATAGGAATGGGCAGTGAACCGGTACCGGTGTCATATGAAAATCGGACTCGTATGAAAATCGGACTCTTTTTCCCTTATATTGGTTAAACCCTCTCACGTGACCGGTCCCTCTCCTAATTATCTATGCATGAGCATGCGCAATACCACCAATGAGTCCGTATTTCATAAAACCTAAATTCATGCTACACCGGATCCTGATTTCGCGGCAGCAATAATGCGCATGCATCAGTCATTGCTACTCAGATAATTGAAATATAAAATCTTCCAAAGCCATGTGTCACAAAAAAGAGGGAAATTGCATTTCATTTGTTTCGGGGAGGAAAAAGAGAAAAAATTGGTCCCCATGAAGAATCGAACTCATGACCTGATGACCCACCGATACCACTGCTATTCACTAGACCACCAAAGTGCTTTGACTGGTAGCAACAATTTAAACCAATTTTTTAGAATAACTGCTGGTACCAGAGTTCAGTAGCCACTATCACAGGAATGACTGGTGCAGTTTCGTCTTCCTTTCCTGTGTTAGTTAGTTAAAGTTAACAACTTTTTTCGTTGCTATTTTCAGAGGACAGCGGCGCGACTCGGCAAAGGACGAGTTTGCCAAGGAACGGGCCATCATGAATGACCTAGACGAGCGTGGCTGGAGCCACATCCACAATGCCGCCTTCCATGGCTACATTAAGTCCATCCAGCGCTTTGTTGCAGCCAGTGAGGACCAGTTGGAGTTCCCGACCAACGATGACCGGCTCATGACACCGCTGCTGCTGGCTGTGGAAAGCGGGAAGCTGGATACAGTCCGGTGCCTGGTGGATCTGGGCTCGGACCTCCGCTACGTCAACCAACAGAATCTGAGCGTGGTGGAGCTGGCCAGCTTGAAGATGTACGTGGAGATCATGGAGTACTTCATCAAGCTGGACCACAAGGATTTACCAGTCTGGTCCAAGCTGATTAAGTTTGCTTCATCGGATGCAGACGAGGAGGCTGAGGCAGCTGGCCGGATGCTGGTCAAGCTGACCGAGCCTGGACCGGATGGACTGCTCAGCCCCAACTGGGAAGCCATTGTAGAGAACCAGGGCATCCAGGCAACCATGAAGATCATCAAGACCTTGATATCAGACCAGGCCAAGTGCCACATGTACACCATGCTGCTCAATATCATTCAGTCACAGACGGTCAAAGAGCAGATTGTCAAACATGGTGGCATCCTGACCTCTCTGGAACTCTTGAAGAGCGATTCCCGGGAGCTGATCTTGGCCGGCGCCACGATGCTCTGTCACCTCTCCAAAGTCCAAGAGTACGTGGACCCCTTGGTGAACAACGGAGCCATTGCAGCTCTCATCAAAATCTGGCAGACCAGCAGCGATCAGGAAATCCTGGTCCAGGTTACTGATACGCTCTCGGAGATTGCTGCTGCAAGCACAAAGCATAAAGAGACCATCGGGGGTACGAGTGGCTGCATGATTGCATTGGTTAGCTTGTTTGATTCCTGCTTGTCCAAGGAGTCCAAGCAACCAAAGGCCCTTCTCATGTCGCTCACAACAGCAGTACAGAAAATTGTGCAAGAGGAGAAACAGAACCAGGACAGCTTTGTAGACGAGGGGGGTTCTTCAGCTCTGATCAGCCTGGCCAGTGCCAAGAACCGAGAACTTCAGCTCAACGCCATCAACGCTATCCACTTCCTAGCCAAAGACAATCCGCACACCCAAAAGATCATCTTGGAGGAAGGCGGCGTCATCCCGCTGATGACGCTTCTGAAGCGGAGCAGCGCCCCGAAAGTTCAGGTCTGCACGGCTGGGGCGCTGTGGGCCCTGGCCGGAGAAGACGTGGACGAGCAGAGAACTATGGCCGGCATGATCGGCGTCAATCTTCTCATAGACTTCTTGAATGCTCAGGCGGAGTTTGATATCTTGCACTACATCGGGGCCGAGGGGTTGGCCGTGCTGGCCCAGGGTCCTCACAACAAGCAGAACACGATCGCCCAGGCCAACGGGGTCCAGCCTCTGGTGCGTCTGCTACGGTCGCCAAAGGAGCACATCGTGCTGAGCGCGATCCGCGCTCTGCGCCACCTCTGCGTGGGCATCGGTTACAAACCCCACCGAGAAAATCAAGAGATGGTCTTGAACTCACGGGGTATCCGTTACTTGGTGGCACTGATGGTTCACTCCAGGAATGAACTCATCCGTGTTGAGTCAGCACTCACTTTGGGATGTTGCTCGATTGGTAGGTATTTTGATACACATAAATTAGCATATAGGGGATACTAGACAAAATGTCTAGACAAAATGTTCTCATCCTTTTAGCAGATTAAAGCCCTTGGATATAAAATGCTCATAATTCCTGCAGCCCATAACATCTAGGCCCTATCTCTGCATGCAAATTTTATCCGACGGGCTTTGCGCACAAACATAGTTGCAGCTGGCATGTAAACATGATTGGCGAGTTTCGAATATTCTAATATTTGGTCAAATGCAGTTTCGAACAATGGATTCTAAATTATTTGAAAAGGGTCAGCTCTATTGTGATGGATTCTATGAAACTCTCCTTGCAATGGTTGTCAACGTTTTGTTCATTTTACTCTCAAAGCTTCAGGGGAAAAAAAATGAAGAAAAAGTGTAAAAAAACTAAGGACCCCAATTTCATTTTAAAATGAGGACCCACTTCATCGGTAGAAGTGATAATATCCAGGGCCATGAGTATAGATTTTGTTTCCGCTTTAATACTGTTTCATATTCAAGTGATAATGTTAAATGTGTGTACAAAAACTGATTTGCCGAACAATTTGCTGGTAGCATGGCTGGTTAAATACACACACAGTCCGAGTCCTACATTTGCCCAGGTGTTGTGTCCTCCATTCCATCTGATAAGATAACGAAACTGATAAGATTTGTTTTATTATCTGTTAGTGATATGTGGGTTAAATCAACACTTTCGGGGGATGTACGTGTTGGCATGCAATGCATGTTGTTTTAAAGGGAATATACATCATTTGCTTTTACTGTAATTTTCAGAAATGGATGGAATTGGGGGTTGGAAATATAGCAAATATACTTACACTGACTTTTTTGAGGTTTTGGGTTCGAAAATGCTATAAAAACCAAGAAAAACAATCATTTTTCTGTAGTCTGGTTCCTGACTCCATATAAGAAGAAACAGAGCAGTTTACATACATTGCGGAATTGTAAGGTCAGGGAACCAGTCTAGCTGGCTCGTACTCGTTCATAGGTTTGTAATCGATTGCAAACAAGTGCGATGGTCAATTAGGGCCAGTATTTGAAAAAAAGCCAGTTTTTTCCAACGCTGATCGGCTGATCAGCGTTGGAAATTGATACAAAAATACCACTTTTCTTGAAAATGACAGTATACCAGGTGCCATGATTTTACAGGATGCTTTACACTGTCATTCACTAACAGTCCAGCAAGGTATTTCAAAATGATTTGGTAGTTTTATTTTTTGATGTTTGCAAATGTTGTATTTTCCCTTTAAGGATCCATGAAATGATTTTTTCCGAGAAACACACATTTTTGTAACTTTCTTATTCTCTTTCATATATAGGAAAACTATTTGACTAATATTTGAAAAGTGCACTTCTATATATTTTCATAGATTTGCCATGCTTTTCTGGACAACTGAGGGCGCTGTTGCTGAAAACATCAGTTTAGTTTAGGGTTTTTTTGTTCAAATTGAGAACCCAAGCATTTGCTCATTGAAAACATTTGTGAGAAAAGTTTGCTCATCGGCTTTAGTTTAATTAATACTGCTATTAACTTTGCTGCTAGTGTAGTAGGCCTATTTTTTTTTTTTCATTTTTTTCCCTTAAAATCATAACTTTACACTGTTTTTTTTTAGTTTACCACCAAAATAACTCTATTCCCAACTTGGCCCCCTGTGTTTCAAGCTAACAGTTAAAAAATATGAGAGAACCAATGTTTTTATCTTGATAAATGACTTTTTAATGGTGTCATTTTTTTGTAGTAAGTGTGCAACAAAAAGGGCAAAGTCTGTTTGTCTGCGCTGAATCCTAAGCTAGAGTGTGTAGGCTTGTATTTACTTGGCCAACTTGTCTGTTTGTGGAGAGCTCTTGAGCCACAAAGGAAAAGGACACAAAAGCGATACTGGGTTATGTAATGAGCCTACCACATTGGATAGCACAGTTGTATGTAGATTAACGCTATTCATGGTGCAGGGAATGTGATCTAACTGTGTACTTTTATCCAAGCCACACTTTGAACTACGGTCGTAAAGTTAAATTTTCCACCCACTGTAATTTATTTCATGAAACTTAAAGATATAGGGCCTAGTCCTTCATTTGTAATTTGTGCATTTTGTTCGTTTGAAGCAACAAAAGTGTTCAAAATCTAATGAAGGATACTGAACAACTAACCTGATGAAGTTTCAGCTCAGCTTCAGCTGTTTATTCCGAGAAAAACAGCATTCTAGGATTTTTAATTTTAAATCAAAAGTTGCTGAATCATGTTTTGAATTGTTTTGAATTGCAGCTATACGCGATGTCGCGCACTAATCCGACGAATTATAGCAACCGCGCGCGCCTGTGTGTCGTGCCAATGCTTGCGCGCACTGCGCCGAATAACAAATCGAACTACTAATTTAAATTTTCCTACGGTGCATCTTAAGACGCACAGTTGGAAAGGCCTTCTTTCGTTGATTACTTCAAAATGATAGCTTGCCAGAAAGATTAATTTTACAGGGAGTTTAGTCCCCTTACTATCTTTCAACCAAGTATGTTTTCAACAATAATACTGTCAGTTACTTTTTCGGATCGCTGCAAATGATGGACTATAGCTTTAACACCTCAGATTCTAAAACGATGTTGAACTAAATATTTAGAAGTTAAGGGTACCATAGTGTATTGATTTAGGTGTACCATATTGTGGGGGGGGGGGGGTCATCAGTTCATTTTTTTAAGATTGCTAATGATCTACATTTTAGGAGTGAAAGTGTTTCTCTATATTGTTTTTTTTTTGGGGGGGGGGGGAAGGGAGCTTAGAATGTACGAGTACATTTGCATTTTGTTGTTTGTGGAATCTCATTTAGAAGTCATGTACAGACTATCATGTAAAACAGTCTAAAGTTGAACATGTGGAACAAATTGAGTGGAGCAGGCTTAACCTGAAACCTCCGGATTGCCATTCTGCTGCTTTACCGAATGAGCTTATAATCCAGCCTAATGTTGGCAGTTCCCCAATTTGTCAGTGTCTTTGTTAAAGGGGCGTTAGAAGCCATACACCTGTACATGTATGCCACGATGCTAGCAACATAAGCAATGTTGCAACCCTAGGAAATAGCAAACAGGGATCACTCAGAGAGGATGCACCAAGTCAGTTTCCCTTTGTGGTTTATTTGAAAATTTAAAGGTAATTTGTGCATTTTGTTCGTTTGAAGCAACAAACATGCTCAAAATCTAAAGAAGGGTACTGAACAACTTACCTGATGAAGTTTCAGCTCAGCTGTATATTCTGAGAAAAACAGCATTCTAGGATCTCAATTTCAAATCAAAAGTTGCTGAATCATGTTTTGAATTGGTCCTGAATTCAGCGTCCGAGACGTGTTCTCACTCAGCCGATTGCAGCTACGCGATGTCGCACACCGATCCGACGAATTATAGCAACCACGCGCGTGTGTGCGTCGTGTCAACACTTGAGCGCGCTTTGCCGAATAACAAAATGAACTACTAATTTAAATTTTCCTACCGTTGGAAAGGCCTTCTTTCGTTGATTACTTCAAAATGATAGCTTGCCAGAAAGATTAATTTTACAGGGAGTTTAGTCCCCTTACTATCTTTCAACCAAGTATGTTTTCAACAATAATACTGTCAGTTACTTTTTCGGATGGCTGCAAATGATGGACTATAGCTTTAACACCTCAGATTCTAAAACGATGTTGAACTAAATATTTAGAAGTTAAGGGTACCATAGTGTATTGATTTAGGTGTACCATATTGTGGGGGGGGTTCATCGTTCATTTTTTTAAGATTGCTAATGATCTACATTTTAGGAGTGAAAGTGTTTCTCTATATTGTTTTTTTTGGGGGGGGGGAAGGGAGCTGAGAATGTACGAGTACATTTGCATTTGGTGTGTATGTGGAATCTCATTTAGAAGTCATGTATAGACTATCATGTAAAAGAGTTTAAAGTTGAACATGTTGAACAAATTGAGTGGAGCAGGCTTCAACATGCAACCTCCTGATTGCCATTCTGCTGCACTACCGACTGAGCTTATAATCCAGCCTAATGTTGGCAGTTCCCCAATTTGTCAGTGTCGTTGTTAAAGGGGCGTTAGAAGCCATAAACCCGTATGTCATGATGCTAGCAACATAAGCAATGTTCTTGGTTGGTTGGTTCTTCTCCTAAATACTCCACATGGGAGTTTATACAGGAGGCCAGAAACACCGGGGCAAACCCCCCTTCTCTTAGCGATAAGTGTTTACTGGGTTCTTTTATGTGCATTTATGCAACACACGGGACCTACGGCTTAACGTCCCATCCGAAGGACGAAGCAATAATGGTTAAGTGCCTTGCTTTAAGAGCACAAGTGTCCGCTGGCGGGCTCGAACCCACGTCACTGTTGCCTCTGAAACACCAGAACATGAGTCCGGTGCTCTTAACCGCTAGGCCATGACACTCCTTGTTGCAAACCTGGGAAATAGCAAACACTGGGATCACTCAGAGAGGATGCACCAAGCCAGTTTCCCTTTCTGGTTTATTTGAAAATTTGAAGGATTTGTGAGAACGTTTGTTTTGTTTCTGCTCAGTTCCTTATTATATCTGTATTGAAACTGAACATACATTATTTCAAGTGAAAGTGAAATGGGCTGATATACTCTGATGGTAATTCTTTTGAACTTTCCAGGCAACTCGGAAGTCATGAACGACATAGCAGACAACGTGGACTTCAACTACGTCCACATGCTGCGCCTCCTGTACTCCAGGGACGAGCTGGTGAGATTGCTGGCTGGCTCGGCCCTAGCCGCCTTTGCCTTCAATAACACCACTCAGCAGCATGAGATAGCCGACTCGGGCGGGGTGCGCTACCACTGCTTCGTGCCGTTCCTGGAGTCGGACAACGAGTACTACAGATGCTGTGCTGCATTTCAGGTACTTCAGTTTCTGATCGATTTTTGGTGATATTTGTTAATTTCGCTCGTCCCCACCATGCATCCTTAAGGCTGGTTGATAATTCATGTGAAAGCGAACGTGAGCTCAAAACTGTGAGGTAATGGCAAGATTTCGCTCTGTAAATTTACAAATGTTTAACATAATTCGACTCCGGAGAATTTCGTAGCAACTTTTTGGGGATGTCAAGCTCAATTTGCATTTGCATTCACATGAAGTATAAAATTTGGACGTCTATGAAATATTACTTCACATGGTACTTGAAGTCCCCTGAAGGTTTTAGGCCACCCTCCGGTTACAGAACAGTTGGCGACTGACTTTTTAGGATCAAGCTGCGTCTGAGCTAGGGTCATCAGGAACATATCAGTTGCTGATTTTTTTTCAACCTGAGCGTAACTGCGATGTTATTAAGACGATTGGCAACAGTCGGCGAGAAAAAAGTTAACAGTTGCTAGTAGAAAAATGTAGAAAAGAGTAGAAAAATGTCAACTTCTGTGCCGTGATGGAACATGTGTTTCCAACAGATGGGAATCAATCTCAGTTGACCTGTGGGAAGTTACGATGTCGTGCGCACATCCGGATCATCGTATTTCATTGTGTAGCCAATCAGCACCCGGCAAAAAATGGTCTATAGATAATGAACAGACGTCATCGTGGAAGATCGTTTGATTGTTATCAACACACGCACCAGTCCTTCTGATTTGAGGCGTGCGATCGCACTCCCACGCCGTCGCACGCCTACAAGCTTCCCGAGAAGTGTGAATAATTGCACGCCTGAATTTCCCTAGACCACAGAATCGCACACCTAGAAAATCACACAATTAGAAAATAACCACACGCCTGGAAAAATCCAGGTGTGCCTTTTTCCACACGCCTGTGATTTTCAAATCAGAAGGACTGACGCACCGCCATTTTTAACACGTCACATGATCATGAGCTATGCCAAGGAATCATCGTCGCATCGATGTCAAGATGCCACTTGTTCCACATGAATCACATGATTTCTCAGTTTTGTGACCTGAGCATTACGTCTCTGCTTGATGCCGACGGTTCCGTCACGGCACAAGCAAATCACAGGTGCCATTAGATTTCTGCACTTGTTCTTGGTACGATTTAGAAAAGACTGTATTCATAACTGCCTTGGTCATTAGTGTTGATATACTTTCTTGCTTTGGCGTTGTTTAGGTGATTGTGCTGGCCCGTATCATACCTGACGAGGAGCAAGCATCATCATCAGCCGTGGGTATCAAGCTCATCGTGGACCTCTTAGAGACCTCCAAGAACGAGTTCATCCAATCGCTGGCCGCAGACTGCATCGCCAGACTGGCTCACACCAGAGCAGGTCAGGTTTGGTCCTCAAAATATTTTATTTCTTTTTTGAATGCTTTCCAAAGCTGAATCCATTTCTGTCGCCCTGCTAAAATTTAAGGTCGTGGAAAAAAACTGGGTTATTGATAACAAAATTTATAGGTGGGGATAGTTTTTTGGTGTGACCTATTAAATTTAGGTTTTGTCTTTCACCGGCGTATAAACCCTGTATACTTTGTGTGTTACCTCCCAAGTAAAAGTTGGAAAAAATCACTCGGGTGGGACTCGAACTCCCGACCTCCTGCTTTCTAGTGCAGATGTCTTACCACTCGACCATTAGAACCAGCTAACCGATCCCGTTAGATTCGAACCAGCCAACCGATCCCGTTAGCTCGGTGTTCAAGTGGTAAGACATCTGCACTAGAAAGCAGGAGGTCGGGGGTTCGAGTCCCACCCGAGTGATTTTTTCAAACTTTCACTCGGGAGGTAACACACTGAGTAAACAGTGTTTATACGTCGGTGAAGGGCAAACCCTAAATTTGATGTGACCTAATTGAAAAGATGTCTGTTCATGTCTAGTGTAGTAAGCCGTTTCCCTATATTTGTGTGGAGTGAGGTTGCGTTGTGGTCTGAAGCATCGAACTCAAGATCTGTGGGTAATTCCGCTGGTTGTTGGTTCGAGTTCAGCCTTGGGCTGTGTGTCCTTGGGCAAGCCACTTGTCTCCAATTGCCTTTCTGGCCCCCGGCAGTAAATTAGTATCTGTGAGGGCAGAAATGGTTGCTGTGATTGATTTTAACTGCCTTGTGCTGGAATGGCTGCATAGTCTTTGGAATATTTCATGGGCCCAGTAAGCAGGGGTAATAATGATGCAGCGCTTTGAGCACCAATTCTAGTGGACATGTGCGCTTTATGCATTATTAGGGAGGTTTCGCAAGCGAACGAATACGCTTACAAATACGTTTAGCTATCCGTATCCGTTTTTTACTTACGTGTAGCGAGCGAGATATGTGTGTCGCCTGCACGTATGACATCATACGCCATTCACTATCCGCTAAACGTGCAGACGACACGCATATCTCGCTCGCTACACGTAAGTAAAAAACGGATACGGATAGCTAAACGTAAGTGTAAGCGTATCCGTTCGCTTGCGAAACCTCCCTATTATTACATGTATATCTACTTGACCTCAACAGGAGTACCGGCCGCCATCATTTCCATACATGCCATAAACCAGCTATGTAGGCACATGCTGTCAGAAGATGAGCAAGCTAGGGGGTCTGCAGCCATCGCACTGGGCTACCTAAGCTTCAACCGTAAAGCAGAGCGGGAACTTCTGAACAAGTAAGCACTGATGAGTCTGTGTGTGTGTGTGACCATGTACAGGTACTTGCATGAGATCCTTTGATGTTGAATAGGGATAAGGTAGTTCTCTTACTGTAACCCTGCCAGATGCAACACAGTGCGATTGGCATAGTCTGTAGGACCTTGTCGCATTGGGCCATCAACACCAGTGCACAAACTGAGACAAAGGGAACAAGATGTCCCAAATTACTTTTTTAGGTGATTTTTTTTTCTTACAGTTACTTGGGACAACACCAAGTATACATTGAGGGTTTATAACATACGTAGGTAAAGGGCAAAATCCTACACTGAATTTATCATTCCGACGCAAATTGCATCTGATGAATAGCGAATGTGCGTCGTGCCAATGTTTGCGCGCGCTGCGCCGAATAACAAAACAAACTTCTAATTTAAATTTTCCTACGGTGCCAGAAAGATTAATTTCACAGGGAGTTTAGTCCACTTACTATCTTTCAACCAAGTATGTTTTTCAACAATAATACACGAGTTACTTTTTCGGATGACTGCAAATGATGGACTATAGCTTTAAAACAAGGGCAACACAACATTCAAGTAAAAAAAAACAGTTACCCTCCTATTTCCAGTCATTAGTGCATAGTTTTGTACTTGTTATCGACATTGAGAAATACACTCCCTTTTAAGATGCATACGATGAGCCAATGAATTGGCTCAAACATCATAGTCCATCATGTAATTCCCTCTAATTCAGGCAAGTAATTTGCTACATAAAGAGTTAAAGTTGGTATCCCCTAGTCTATGGAACATCCCCTTGCACGGCAAGAGTCTATGATAGGCGATTAATTACGCAAAACAAGACTGCGTCTTGACCTCGCGATTCTGACCATTCAGCGGGCGCCTTATGTCGGGTGTTTGGCAATCTGTTGCTGTAGTATGAAAACATGGCAGTCAAATTGATCAAACCACAGCTTAATGCCCTTTTTTTATTGAAATGACCTCACAATTTCTAAAGTCGACTCAGATATTTCAAATTATTGTGTGTATTGTGGGTACAAAAGCAACCATAAATAAAAGCATATTTTCAAAATTTTCAAAATGGAAAAAAGCTTAGCTTTTCCCTTTGAATTTAAACATTAATTGAAAATTTGTTTTGAACAAAATTTGAATATCTTGAAAAGCATGGGTAGAGAAAGTTTAAGAAGAGTTTTTAAATCAATTTATTTACAGTGAAATCTTGATTAGTCAAAACCTGCTAACTTGAAAACCCTTCGAACTCAAAGTGAGAACTTTTTCCCGTCAATTATTGTTGAAAAGAAAATCCTTTTGCTAACTCAAAACTCTGCTTAACTCAAAATTTGAGCCCATTCCCCTGAGGTTTGTGGGGGAGTGTGGCCTAGTGGTTAGGATTCATGACTCATGATCAGAGGGTCAGGGGTTCGAAACCAGCTGCTGGCCATATGTTGTGTCCTTGGGCAAGCCACTTCACCCCCACTAGCTTCTCTCCACCCAGGAGTATAAATGGGTACCAGCATTAGCTGGGGAGTCACCTGCGATGGACTAGCATCCCATCCAGGGGGAAATAGAAATATTCTCAGTCGTTTCATGTTACTGAAACTGGAGATGAACGCCGGTCTGATGAGCCACATTGGCTTGTGACAGACTTTTTTTTACCTGTGAGGTTTGATTCATCCTGATTTCATGGTACTTTCAACCCTTCTCACAAGTTTTTGTTTGATTTATTTTTGTCTTGGTTGTGTAGGTGTCGGCAGGACCCGTACTTGTTCAAGGTGCTGCAGTATTACACTCCCAACTACCGGCTAGCCGATGCCTTCTTGGATGCGTGGAAGCACTATAAACACATCGGCTTGCCCCACATCGAGTAAGTTTGTAGAATTAGCTGTGTTATAAAAACCAGTTACACACCATCACAGGCCCTTTCTCCATCAGAGCTCAGCCATTTTCTCCATAGATTTGGCTTTGTTTTTGGCCCTGCATATCCCAAGTAGATAATAATAATAGTAAGTATTTATAAAGGGCACGTATACACCAGGACTGGTGCTCAAGGCGCTACATCATTACTACCCCTGCTCATGGGGCCCATGAAACAGTCCAAATACAATCTCAGCTCCCTGGGGAGTATACAGCTCGATGCAGCCTGTTAGGTGCAAGGAAGCTAATTCGGTCACAATAACCATCTCCGCCCTCACAGGTACCCATTTACTCCTGGGTGGGGAGAAGCAATGAGTGACAAAGTGCCTTGCCCAAGGGCACACGCACCATGACCCCAGGCTGGACTCGAACTCACAACCTGCAGCTTTACCCGCAGACTACGAATCCAATGCCTTTAACCATGAGGCCACAGCACTCCAAGTAGATCTATGTGTAGTCATCTGCTGATGATGACTTGATAAATGATGACTTGATTTCTTAACCGATTCTGTTTGTTTGTGCTTTCTGCAGCACATCACAGAGACCGTGTCTGGTATCCAAGAAGACTGTCCCGTACTTGAACAACATCAAGAACCCTAACAGTGAGTGTTTAACATGGACTAGGTGTTTTGGCTTTGTTTTTGGCAAGAGAAAAACCCATCGCAAGTCGGATAATTTGCATTGTTCCTTGGCTATGAAAAATGTACAGTTATCCCCCCCCCCAAAAAAAAGGGCCACTTCCCAAATTGGCCTTGAATGTACATTTGACCCTCTTTAATACAAATTCTGGTTGTAGCAAACATAAAGCCGTCGGTCCCAACTGTGCATGTATGTGCACAATGAATGGGACCGGCACTACTCTTAATACAACAGTCTGATAGAAAAAAATACATTTGGACTTGGTCTGGCTGAGTTTGTATTAGCGGGAGTCGACTGCTTCGTGGAATATAGAGTTGCCACTTTAGTTATGAAAAGAACTGTTAAGCCTTACCCACCCAGCATACAGGCAGCAACATGTGAACCTCATCATTGCCTCACTGCATGTCCATCAGCATACATATTATTCAAATTAATCACGGCTGTGATTGGTCTATGCATCATTGGGCGGGGCTTAATGGATCGGGTCTGTTTATTGTACACATGCATGTTGATGCCTTAGGCTCACAAGCATACATGCCACACTTCATCTTGTTGCATTATCACTCATTGCATGCTGAATCCTGTTGTTCACACCCACTTCTTTGTAAACTGGACTGATACATGCTCATACGTCAATGCTTCTTGAAGCTTCTGATCAGCCATCTTGGAATCCCCAAAATATCACACTGTGACATCATTTCAACAACGACACCAGGAACTGACACTCAAGTGCGTGTGACTGCCTGGCACATGCGCGTATTTTACAGAACCGCGTGATTTTCATTGTCACCAACTGATACCCGGCACACTGCGCCACTGTATGTGCGCGCTGATCTGTACATTTTCGTTTTGGCGAACTGACACCGATCTTAATTTCACCAGTTTAAAGGGTTTCTAATCAAAATATATATGGATTGATTAAATTTGTGTCAAACTTTTCAAAGTGTTTTTCTCTAAAATTGTATTGCCACAACAGGTTTGGGTGTCAATTCGTGAAAACGAAAATTGTTCTATTATACTTAAGTGTCCGATGTGCACGCGCTTACCCGAGTGTCAGTTCAAGAAAACCGAATCGGTTGATTACTCGGTTTTCAGGAACTTACATCCACTTGCGCGTGAGTGTCAGTTTGTAGTGTCGGTGATGATTTCATCCTGCAGCTATTGCGGTTTTTTTTTCACTAAAAAAATATCAATTTCTCTAAAGATCAATTACATTTTTGGATGCTTGCCAGTTTTGTGAATAGGATTGTTTTAATCTCAAAAGCTGGTCAGGAAATTCAATCGTTACTTTCGCTGCCTATCCAAAAAGTAACTGACAAATTGTTGTTGAAAACTTACTTGGTTTAAAGATGATGATGACAATAAACTCCCTGTGTAATTATTCTTGCTGGCATGCTGTCAACTTGAAGAAAACAATAAAAAAAAGCCATGCATAAGTGGCGCATTTTTGGAAATTTCAGTAAGTAGTTCGTTTTTTTACATCCGCGAATCCGTGAATGGGGGCGCGTGCATTGTGTCAAACGCTTGGTTGCTATTATTCGTCAGTTCAGTGCGTGACATAGTGTAGCTGCAATTGGCTATTAAAATGAGAACATGTTCCAGATGCTCATTTCGGGTGCTTTTAAAACATGACTCTGAAACTTTTGAATTGAAATGGAGATCCTAGAATATTGTTTTCTCGGAATATACAGCATTCACAGAGCTAAAATTTCATCAGGTTAGTTGTTAAGGCCAAAAAAAAAAAGTCTCCGGTTTCTGGTATGGAGCTTGCCCCAAAAGTGGTGCGGCGACGCGGCTTCTTTTTTTTTTTTACCTGTTTTTTTTTTTTTTTTTGGCTTCAAATGTCGGCTGATGACTGCAAATGGTGCCCGACTAAACTTAGTGCAAATATATGGGAGTCCAGAGAGGCCACATAAAGCTTATTCTCGATCATAACCCCATCTAAAAACACGTTAAAATTGTGCAGCAGCAGGATTCCAGTCAAACCATTGAGTTTAGCGGTTTTGAGACATCATCTTGTATTGAAAAAAAAACTTTTTCATTTTGCCGACGCGCATGGCTACGGCGACGCGCGCGCATACCAGAAACCGGAGACTTTTTTTTTTTGGCCTAAGCACTGGTCTTTAGATTTTTAGGACTTTTGTTGCTTCAAATGGGAAAAAAAAAATGAAAAAATGACTAATGATGTACCCTACCTTTAATCTTAAAGAAGAGATCCAATACCAACTACCCATAAAAAAACTTATGTTTACCGTGCGTGTGTTGTGGGTGTTCCAAGATGGCGGACGACTACTTCAGTGCGTTTGCATTGACCAGTCCAGTTGGTACAGAGGGCAGTTGTTGTTCATCATTCCATTGTTAAATTTCTTAACTCACACCTACTTCACTCCTTACCTTGCATGCATTTCCCAGTGTTGGATGGGTAAGTTTATCAAGACACTTGTTATATAACCGTTCACCCATTGGAACTTCGTCTGCTTTAATACTGATCACAATTTTCCCTGTGTGAAACAGTCACTGAAATTTGTTGTCATTTTTTTTCCCACTGTACTGTAGTGCTGTGCATATTCAAATAATTTAGAATTTGATTATTCGAACTTGGATTTGATCAAATATAAAAATTTATTTGTAATTTTGTTATTATTTTTTGTGACTTGGTCTATATTTTTCTCTTGCGTGAATTTCAAATTGCCTGTGCCTCCTAATCATCCCCTTCCTTTGTTGCACAGCCCGCATTGTCTAAATTCTTCAATACAATGTACTAATGATCTCTCTGGTAATTAACTAATTAACTTTGTTTGAGTCCTCTGTTGTGATACTGCTAGCCGTTTTGAGTGTACGTTTTTGTACTAGACATGACTGATCCAGATCCAGAATTCAATTATTTGAAAGCTCTGAGTGGAGACCTGGGTCCAATTTCATAGTGCTGCTAAGCACACAATTTTCTGCTAACACAGCCTCTGTCTATTTCACTCTTATCAGTAAGCACAGCAAAAGGCACGCTTACTTTTAATAGTTCAATTTGTATGTCTTTCCGGTAATGAAACCAAGGACAGTCTCAAAAGTGCCCTATAGGCACTGCAGCTTGCAAGCCTTTAAGAAACCTGTCGAATTAGGAAGACAATGAGAAGAAATCACAGTTTTAGAGGTGGGAGGAAAACCCCAGAAGAATATTCTGGGTAAAACCCACGGAATCAGGTAGGGACTGAAACCCCAATCCACATGAGGTCCGGGCAGGAATCGAACCCGGGCCATAACGGTGGAATTAAGGCGAGGAGAGCAACCATGGCATCAACCTTGACTCTCTTATCTCATAGGAAAAAGTTGCTTAAATCGCAAAACAAAATGCTGAAAATAACACCAATGAGGTATAACAAAATGTGGGAATGCTGCGTAGCACTGTGTATAGAGCATAGAAAATTAAAAGTTACTGTAGATCAGTGCTCATCGGATTAGCTGTTGTCCCGAGCTTTCGGATCTCTGTCCTTCTTCAAAAACACCCCATGAAGAAGGACGGAGGTCTGAAAGCTCGGGTACAACAGCTAATCCAGTGAGCACTGATCTACATTAACTTTTAATTTTCTATACCCATGAGGTATGCTCTACATTTTTTTAGGCCCGAGTGCCAAAGTTCCCAAGGCTAGATTTGGTCCATCTTGCTCATGGCGCCCTCTATTACCGCAGTGGTTTGACTACGTATTTGTTTATGGTGTAAATCAAGGACACACACGTACAACATCATCGATGAATCGAGGACAGAAACCAAATCAAGAACTCCTCCGTTGGAAAACGTGTACAAAGCCAATGAGAGTTGTTGCAAAAAAGTTTAAGTACAAACAAAGGAATCAAGGGAAGAGGAACAAAAGAAAATCCTTGATTTACAAAAATTACACCATAAACAAACATAAGTGTACTTACTAGACTAGGGGTGTGTACCGGAACTAGGTTCCCAAGGAACCCGTCTGCTAAAGTCAGGAACTGGTTCCCGATTATGGGATTGGGTACCCGTAACCAACTTTCATTACTGAGTTACTTCTCAGACCATGAAAAAGAAAACTTTTGAATGCCATTTATGGAAAAATCGAACTGAAAACCAGGCTATGCTAAAAATCAAAACAAATGCTGTGTTGATGTGTGTTTTAACGTGCAACAGCTGATGCTCACTATAAAGCCAAAAAAAACTGTCCGTTTTCTGGTATGTGTGTCGGCAAAATAAGAAAAAGAATGTTTCAATATAAGATGATGTCTCAAAACCACCAAACTCACTGGTTTGACTGAAATCCTGCTGCTGCACAATTTTAACGTGTCTTTAGATGGGGTTACGATCGAGTATAAGCTTTATGTGGCCTCTCTGCAGGGCTCCCATATATTTTGCACTAAATTTAGTTGGGCACCATTTGCAGAGGGTGTTGTAATTTTGTAATTATGCGTCTGGAATTAGCCAGACTGACGGAGCGATGGTCGTGTATCTGGAACCTGTAAACGCTGTTTAATTAGCTCAATATACTTCTCAAGCCTTATGGCCTTACTGAGGTCACCTCAAGCTACACTCTGAAGGAATTTGAGGTTTTAAAGGGATCAAAGGGTCATCTGCAACATCAGCCGACATTTGAAGAGAAAAAAAAGTTGGGTAAAAAACCCACATCGCCGCACCACTTTTGGGGCAAGCTCCATACCAGAAACCGGAGACTTTTTGGGGGGGGGGCCTTAAGCCCTTCAGACAACTTCTGGGAGTTGAATTTTGGGGGGTGGGGTTTCTTTTACGGGTACTGAAGTTACCGTGTGTTACTACTTCAATAGGGTACGCGGTTCACGTACTACCCATAAATGCACACCACTATCATGACTATACTGCATTAGGGGAACTAAATCTCCAATCTAGAACCGAGACTAGTTCAGTTGAACTTATTACAAATTTTAAAAGAATAAGTATTGCCAATCAATATTGACACTATGTGCATTCCGTCTTTTTTCCCCCCGGCCATTTTTTGCTTGCAGTGCGTCAGTTCACGATACTGAGCTTTGGGGAGACTGGGCTGAATCACCCGCTAAGTTCTCCAACGAACCAAATGAGTTCTAACTACCACGAGGACGGCACCACAGTGGTCACCGACAACCCTATCATCACGCGCCACACGCCCACAGGTGGCGCCGGTGCCCCGCGGTCCACTTACTCCCGGACAAGCCGTCATCAGGTTACCAGTCATCCGTCCACACCGGGCAGTCACATATCCTCGCAGAAATCGGCCACGGTCGCTAGGGACAGTGACACGTGAGAACGATGATTGTGTCATATTTGAAGAAAAATATATATAAAAGCTATCTTCAGGGTTTAAATATTGAGTGCAAGTGTTGCACCGCCACGTCGTGTGTGTCCGTCCAGTAAATAGATAATGCGGTGCACATCAGATACTTGTAAATGATTTCTCACGGCGATGTTTTAAGCAAGTAGCTGAAACATGAAAAGAAGTGTGCCTGTTTTGCCTTTTAAGTGTCATGTGGAAAAGAAATAAAACGTATAACCAGGGCTTCAGTTGGGTGTCCACAACTTTGGTGTGACAACAATGGAAATTGCTGAAGAGTTTAATTAGGAGTTAAAGGGGCATGGGTTTGCATCACTAGTATAGGCGTGAGTAAAATTTGGTAATAATTAAATTCATAAGTACCTAAGACAGTTTACCCATTCCTATTGGTCGGGAGTCTGTCACATGGCATGGTCTTAAACAGTTGATAAAACACCAGCTGGCTGATTTAAACACTTTCCGGTGTCACATGAAATTTGGACTTCGATGAAGTCTGGTCCCTTTCACCCTTTTATTGGTTGAACGTTCACAATCGTCACTTGGGCATATGAGCAATACTACCAATGAGTCCGTATTTCATAGTCCTAAATTCACACTATACCGGCACCGCTGCGTTCTGCGCCACATTGCGCAGTACACACCATGTGCGCAGTACACACCATGTGCGTGCCAATCTCCATATAAGGAGTTGTTTACGACTACTCGCAAGAGCACATACCATAACATAGCTAGAGGGGTGTTGCGAAAAACATGAAATTGAACCGAACCGTCGGAAATTTATAATTTTTGACTTCTTTTGACTTCTTGACCGAAAAGGTATTTTTTAAATGGGAATAAATATGTGCTTGGCCAGTAAGTCTGGCTTAGGGCCTGGTCACCGATACTATCCCTAGCCGGCGTCCATTTCTCCAAGCCGGTCTAAAACTGATTGTTTAAAACCTGCCAAGCACATTTTATTCCCTTAATAAGAATATCCACCGAGACCCCTACATCGCATAAGGTCCGTTACAAATTGAGTGTCCTACGGGGTGTCTTAAAATTTATGCCTCGACATTCCTCGCGCTAAAACATGGAATCCCACGGAAACACATCTGAAAGTTTTCTGAAATTTGTGCATTTCGGATTATAATTTTTGGGAAAGGACATGACGATGTGAACATTCTACCACTGACACGTGTCTTCCTTTGGGTTCAGAAATAAACAATTTCTTGGAGTTTTGTACTTAATTGGCTGGTCCACTTTTCTTGTTTTCTATCCAATGTTTAACTCTTACAGATGAGCAATAATTTTCTAAAATATTTTATTTCCTCAATTATAGTGTTGTTAGGGATGTGTTTAATAGGAAAAAAAATGAATCCGTCCACATTTTTCATACATTGTACATGTATTTGGTGCCTTATAATTTAAGAGTAAATGAAGAAATGTACATGTAGGTGCTAGTCACATAGTACATAGTGACTGTGTTAACCAGTTCGCGCCGGGATTATTTTGACAAGAACAGAACGAGGTGTGGGATTACTTTTCGCGCAACATCAAGCCAGGTGGGTTGAAGCCATCACCATCTCATGATCTGGCAGCACACTCATATTTCCAGCCTCGCTCGCTGCGAGCGGGTTGCCGACGGATATTTCCGGCCTCGCTCCCTGTGTGTTCATCTGTCCTCCGTTCCGAATACCGCAAAACCTTTGCGTGTATACATGTATATACACGTCATCCGACACAAACTGGTTAAACCGTTGATGTGTGTCTACATGTAAATGTATGGTTTGATGTAAAAGTTGTGTCAAATGAAAATTTACAGTTGCGGGAAAATGTTTTTCAAGACTTAACTTTTGGTTACACATTTTGTTTTGCTTGTTTTTTGGGGGTAAGATAGGTATTCCATGAGCTCTGTGAAATTTGTCCAAAACATGGAGTTTACAAATATCTTTATTAAAATTATTGCCTGTGAAGGTTTGAAAAGTTTGCTTTATGTATAAAAAAAAGTGGTGGAAAAAAATCTTGTGGACAATCAAAATTTTATGAATTACATTTTCTTTTCATAAGTAAACTTTGTTTTAACTCTTTCAGTGCCAAAGTCGTACATGTACGAGGTATATTTGTTAGTTCGACAGTGCCAACCTCGTACATGTACGAGGTAATGTTCGTAATCAAAATCGTTAAACCTCGTGCAATTGTAAGGGGTAGAGTAAGCATATTATCACAAGGGGGCGCTCTCGCTCTTTTTAATAATATCATTTTTTCATTCAGGTAGGACCTGTATTTATTTGTTTCATTCGAGTTCTTGCGAGAGGGCGCAGCACTGACACTCGTATTTTCTGCAAAAAGTGCGGAATTCCCCTGTGTGCACTGTGCAGGACAGTGTTTCAGGGTGTATCTCTATGTATTTGACTACTATTGACTTTCCAATATACCAAGGATATACCAGAGAGCAACAACAACAAATTTAGTGAGTAAAACTTATTTACCCTTTTTTTTACAGAATTTTGAACAATTTCAAAAAATGCTCGAAGTTGGGCACTTAAGGGTTAAACTTTTCAAATTTCGCGGGCACTGAAAGAGTTTAAATGGATGCAGGATTGTCCCAATTATGATGGTACATGTATGGTGGCGCCTGGAAGTATATCATACTAGTACTTGTTTCTTGTTTAAGTGGTTTGCACAAGGGTCTTTCTACAAATGTGGGTCCAATTTATCCTGTCCATGTTACATCTGACATCTATGATTTTTGTTATTCTGGATGCACTAAACCCCAACTTTCTAGGTATTTTTGCTAGGATGCAACCCCAATCCTGCAAAACCTTGCAACTACATGTACCTCCATGCAAAAGCTTCATACAGCCTCAATCCTGCAAGGGGGACCATTGCCTCAGTCCTACAAAATCCTCCAGCAACAACGGTGGTGTAGCCAAGGGGGGGGGGGGGGGGGGGGCACAAATTCGACGTGCCCCCCCCTCCCCCCACCAAAATACAATAATGCCCCTTTTCCTTCCCCAACCAAAAAAGGTTTTATGAAGTTGTAATTTTCTTTCCAGTAGTCATGGTAGTGAATGACAATTAGGTGAAGCAAATGACATACCCAATGTAAATTTACGTGCCCCCCCCCCACCAAAATACTGATAATGCCCCTTTTCTTTCCCCAACCAAACAGGGTTTTTGTAAGTTGTATTTGTTCCAGTGGTGAATAGTGATCATGTGAAGCAGACGACCTACCCAATAAATTTAAATTAGTTTGAAGTCATCCTAAATGACACCTGAATGGCAGCATGATAAAGTTCAGCGGTAACAGGGACAGGAATAATTGTCACTTTGGACTTTTAAGTCCAGAATGACCCCTACTTGTAATTATATACAGTGCGGTTTATATTTAGTCTTGATTGACCCTATTCTGTAGTATATACTTGTACACATCAGATTTTATGTGTAAATAAAAAGAGTGTGTTTATTTCACTGTCACGTCACCTGAAAATGTCAGTTTTTAAAATTTATTTTGGCCTTCTTGTAGAATCTTGTAACTTCTTAAGAGTGTGATATTGGACTTAATTTGACAAAACTTTAAAGATGCGTACATTTGTACATACATGAATGAGAGCATGTGTACAACCCGGCTTGGGCAATTCCAATTTTTTTGGAATCTGTCCCGAGTACATACAGGTGTTCTAATCCAATTCTGTCCATCTACCCCCCCCCCCAAAAAAAACACAGCGAGGATAGACCTTCATTTCACCTTATCAACCGGAATTAATTTCTTAAGTCCCTTTCCGGATTCCAAGTTTGTAATTGATTATATTCGATTCTGACCTGAGATCGCCCAAGCCTGGAATTGTCATTTCCATATTTTTGTTCAAAATCCACCGTCCACATGTTGTCACAAGCAGGCTTTGCTGATGTGCGTTAAGTTTCCTTACAACTCTTCTTTGACAAAGCAATAATTCACCAACCTGGTTCTCAACGACAAATCAGATAAACACATTTATGACAAAATTAAATCTCACAGAATCCAAGTAATTTATTCTCTACATTTCTTGCCAAAAACAACTCGAGTTAAAACTCTTAACAAATGTGCTCCTTCCTATCCCTAATGTTCTTCCTCTATCCCTAAACAAGTGCTTTCCCTGACCATTTTAAAACAAATACCAGGCATGCAACTGGGAATTTAAGGAAAAAACGAGGAAATTCCAAAATACACAAGACTTTGTACAGCATTTTTCAATTTGTGATGGCATTCATGAGAAGTAAAAAACGAGAAAATCAGCGGATCCGAGGAAAAGTTGCATGTCTGATTAATACATGTACACAGCACGTGAGCATAAAAAAACTTTTACTGAAAGAGGTAAATTTTACTGAAAGAGTGAAAATTTTACTGAAAGAGGATTCTGAAAAACTGAAAAAAACGTAAAACAAAAAGATTTTGGAGTATATCAGGGTTCCAGTAAAGCAATCAAAACGTGACAAAAACAAAAATACCTTTCCCCCCCCCCAAAAACCACCACCCCTTTTGTCTATGACAGCAGCAGTTGTACATGTACATGTATGTAGGCTTACCAGTGCTGATGTTTAGCGGCGTGTACAGAACTCATGGTGTTTTTGTCAACGTGTTTTATTTCTCCATGCATGCCATGGCGTCAGCAGGGGCAGGCAAGCTAGTACTAGTACAATGTTTTGGTACATGTACGCGGGGGTGCCAGAAAAGATTTGTTCTTGTCCCACATCTCGATTAAACTTTTAAGAAAAAAAACACCCCCGAAGTACCCAAAAATGTGTATACCTCGTTTATTAATCAAAGTTTCAGAAAAAAACGTGTAGCTTTTTCCTTATTTTTTTTTCCGGACAACTGGTAAAAGTTTAAAGTGTGCTAGGATAATTGTAACTCGTGCCACTGTCAAATGTAAAATCACGGACTCGTAAGTAACATGAAAAGAAAAACTGTCACGGGTGACTTGGCAAGGTCTCCATGCCATTCCACTTTCCAGTGCAGCACAGTGGTGAATTTGAGATGAGAAAAATGCCTACAGTTACAAGTGTGGCTTGGGGGGGGGGGGGGCATCAAGGCATTTAATTTAAGGTCGTAATTTATTAATTCCGTGTATATGTATTTTCCAGCAAGAAAATGTCATTGCCTTCCCATGAAACTCGCTCATACATCTGAAAATTACATGTGTACCTTATTTGTATAAAGCACTTTCCAGATGCAGTGTGCACATAACCGAACTACAGAGCAAGGGTGACCAAGCCTATATTTGTAATTAATTAATTAACCCTCCTACTATTTAAGAGGTCACCAATGGTCAAAATTTTCTTCCTCACCTCCTGGCCTACTGTGTACAAACCAATGGGGGTCTAGACCAATATTGACCCAAGTAACAAGGTTGACAATGCATGTTTCCATAGGAGGGTCAATCGTCAAAATGTGTTAAATAATTAAACTCATTTGGCATTTTCAACGACAATTAGAACTCGATTAGTAATTCTTCTACATAGAATGGCATGTTGCTTTTAGTAATTTTTTAATCTCAACACCAACAGGCCATGCCAGCAAATTCTTAAAAGGATCTGAATCCAAAAACCTTCATACATGCTGTAGATGAACAATGAATCAAAATTTCTTTTCAGTCTGTGTGCGACTCTGTTTTCACTTGAAGAACACAACTGTCACTGTGATGTCATCCCGGTATTGCCTGACCACATTGTCCGGTAGACTCAGTGTGTTGGCCAGTCTATGGTGGTCGAACCTGTTGTGAATCCCTCCTAGAGCATATCGGATTAGGTGAGTGGCTACGTTGTCGTCTCGCGGCCACAGAGCCGCCTTGCGCCTCGACAACATCTGATGGATCTGCTCCAGGCTCATAGCAGCAGACGGGGGATGGAAGTGGCCGACCTTATCCCTCATCAAGAGGAAGTCCCCAACTAGGTTGACGGCCTTCTCTGGCGTCAGGCAATCCCACAATCCATCAGTGGCAAGAATGAGGAATCGGTCGGCCGGGGTCAAGCGGTGGTGGATGACCTCGGGCGTGGCGATCAGGTAAGGAGGGGTGTGGTAGTTCTTGGGGATGACGTTGGCCCCGAACCAGGGATTCAGGACCTGGTGTTGGAGGGACTGGCTCCATTTGTAGCGCACGTCGCCGAAGGCTCGCAAGGGGGCCAGCTCACTCAGAAGGCGACCGTTCTTGATGACTGTGGAAGATTCATCCAGACGGTGGGCTGAGCGTATCCTTTTGACTTCATCGACGTTTTGCGCATTATGATCGTTTGACACGGCAATGGCACTCCATGGCTCACCTTCACTCTGCCTGCCAAGTACCGCCCGACAATCTCCAGCATTAGCTACATACAAGTCATCTGCATCCACATACGCGACACAAGCACAGGCTCCAGAGAAAACAGTGTGCAGCCCCTCGTCGTTGAACTCTCCGTTTGAGGTGCTCACCGCCTCTGCGGACAAGTCTTTGTCCAGTCGGTCAAACGACGTCATCAGCATATCGGCCTTTTTATCCTCCTCCTGGAAATCAATCGCCACGTTGTCTCTCATGTACTGTCCAAGACTGTGTCGGAACAGCAACTGCCTGTCATCGGAGACGTAATCCTTAGGATGCTGGTACCAGTTGACCAACTCTCGCAGTTCCCCGTTGTTGAACATGCGGAGAGCCTGCTGGAGCACATCGTAAGGGAGAACCTCCGCTGCGATGTAATTGAGCAGGCGCTCGCTGACAACCTGAGCGCAGGCCGGACCATGATGCCCATCAAACACTCCAAACAGCATGGCCTTGGTCAGGATGCACTCTGCTTCAGCCCGGCGATCCTCCATCGGATTGTTGGACCCTAACTGGTTGGTCATGAAAGTTTTCACCGAGGTGCCCTTGCTGTCGTCTACTTCCACCGTAAGCTCGTTCCTGAAAAGAATAGAGTTGACCTGTTCCGGCGAGACAGTCAGGTGGCCGTACCAGTTTTGAACCGGAGTTGTGTGAAGCAAGCGGACAGGCTGGTAAAAACCTCTTCCAAGCAAACTCCACGGTTTCCAAGATTGAGTAGTCTTGAGATGAGGGTGACGATGAAAGCTTTTATTCTCAAGTTGAACTTCAACATGTTTAACTTTAAATGATGCCTGATTATCATTGTTGCAGTCGTACCAGTTTAAGGTCCTGCCAAAATGTACCATGCGCCTACCAAGCATGGCGGGCCTGGTATATAAATATCTGATGCTCGGTACAAATTTCGCACGTGACATCCTTGTCATTGATCGCTTAATGTTGAAGATCTCACAATATTGCCACCTGGTTACATACATACATCATTATTTATGCAAATCAATGTCACTTGTGTCATGATGCCCGCGCCCGGTTGAAACATTTTCACAATCACATATTGCCGAATGGTCACATTCGTGTTTCAATGTTTCTTCACTGCATTACTATTTCCGTGGTTTTTCTGTAAATTACTCTCGCTCACCAGTCACCACCATAATCTTAATTATTGTCAACTTCTCGACAAATCAGTGCACCGCTGCAGAAATCTCCTCTCATGCCTGTTGTGCATTCAAGCGGAAAAATCATGGAAAAATATACACCGGTATAAATGTGTAGCGCCCTCGTTTGACAGCAATTTGCACAGTTACAAAACACACGCGCGTGACGCAGAACGTACGAGTGCAAGTATCCTCTGCAAATATCGTTCGTTGCCCTCAAAAGCGTCTCGTCAATTGTTCAGAAATGTTACCAGGAATCTGCCGAAGTACTGTGGGTGCAGTGAGGAGTGTCGTCGGGGTTTCTAGGCGGCATTTTTTGCAGCAATCTTCGTCCCTCGGGACAGTGGCTCCGAAGCTGGGTGAGAAATCCGCATGGTGCTCTTGAATATTGTGCATTTAGTGGGACGGCGCGGAGCAGGGAACCAGACCACAAGTTGCATAAGAAATTCCTTTTTTTATATTTTATTTAAAGTTTATTTTATAGTTTTATTATACTTATAGTTTACTTTTTTTCTGGTGCTGTTTTCTGGTTTTTAAAAAGTGTTGAATTGGTTTGTCATGTTTGTTATTTTAACTGGCATCATATATTTATACATAACATGTCATAGGCCTAACTGACAATGACTGAGCTCAGCTACATGTATGTAGTCTTCATTAGTCATGTTACTGTTAGTTTGTCAAATAAAGTTGACTCCATGAACATCACAAATGTTCTCTGAAGAATGGTGGGGGGGGGGGGCATAGGACTTAGGAGTGGAGGGGGTAACAAATCGTTTAAAAGATATTTTCCCAATAAAAACACAACTAAGTCACGCATTAACTTTACTTTCAGGACCTCTCTATGTTTTGAACTCGCCTAAAATGCTGGCAAAGGGAAAAAATGTATCCAGATTCGAATTCTTCCAGACCCCACTTGTTCTTTGGTTGTGTACAAAGTCTATTGAGTGCATTTTTAAAGTATTTTCTAACAAAATTTGAAATGTTTCTCAGTCCGAAACTCATGTCTTTTCAACATTTTTGCAATAACTGACCTTCATTGAGATAATATATGAATGAAAGAAGTGGCATCAGGATGCAACATTCTTTCCCTGGCAAAGCCTACTAGTAATAGGCCAGATTTAGTTTTTCTTTCCGAGTAATGTTATTTTAAATCTGGAAGTTTTTACAATTGACAATTGATGCTTGCAAAAGGGTTGACTAAATAGCAATGCTGAAAAAAAAAAAATTGAGGGTCCTATAACTAGGTAGATAACGCCTTCATTCCCAAGTTAAAGACTTAAAAACCCACATTTGACCATCATCGCGATTTACAATACATGCTATTAATAAAAACAAATGATGTCAGGGTGGGGCCGTATCATAAGTCCGACGCCTCATAAGTCCGAAATTTCGGACGTATGAGGCGTCGGACTTATGAGGCATAAAATTTATTTATTCCGCCTCATAGGTCCGACGCCTCATAAGTCCGACGCCTCATAAGTCCGAGGTCAGAAAAACGAGGCGTTTAATTTGTCGGACTTACGAGGCGTCGGAGCTATGAGACGTTGGACTTATGGGCCTTTATTTGGTTAGGGGATGCGATTTTGTCAGACTTATGAGGTGTCGGACCTATGAGGCGTCAGACTTATGAGCGGACCCAATCAGGGTACCACATTCTGCCTTCGTTTTTAAAACAGAAAGTGTTAGTTGTGATGACGTATAAACAAAGCAGTTTTTTCCCCTTAAAAATTACAGAGGATGCAGTTACAAATGAGGACACCTTTGCAGGAAGGGCACTGTACATGGATGCCCAGTCAACTACACCATTGGTGAGGTTCACTTCTTAGAGCCGTTTCCCAGACCCCACCATCTTTGTGGTCACATGGTCATCTCAGGGGGCATTGCAATAGAAACGCGAGATTATAATGGCATGACGGCATGTCTTTCAGTTGAAATGCCCCCCTCCCCACGGAGATTGCCACACGATCATAAAGATCATGGTGTCCGTGAAATGGTCCATGGTCATGGACTAACAATTGGCATTCTATATGGTCTGTACTTAACCCTCCTGGTGGGAAGTCAAGATTCAGAGTGATATGTACGGTACATGCAAAACCCTTTAAAACCCTGCAGGTCAGTTTAAAGTGAAGGGATATGAAGTGTTCGAGTAACTGTGTCACACAGAGAGTCACTGCACACACAAAAAAACAGCACTGTGGAGAGCAGTGAAGCATGACCAAATCTGCTTGCTTCCCCTGAGCTTAAACACAAACGAATCGTGCAGGGAGTTGCTCCACAGAAGATTACCTCAAAGGAATTTGAAGTGTATGTGTGTCTGCTAAATCTCTGGGCAAAAGTAGCTTTGCAAACTTGAAGGGTTGTGAAAAGCAGAAGACTAGGAGGGTTAAAGAGTTGTTTTTTTTACATGGCACATTTTGTGTGGACACTAAACTAATAAAAGCCAGCTTCTTCACTGCTGAATCTGAACTACGTAGATCATGAGTAATTAGTTCAGTTTTTATTGGAGACAATATGAATCATAAGGCCATTGTTTCTCTCCAGTTTCCTTGACATGAAACGATTGGAATAAAAGAAAATATGTGCTCCCCTTGGATGGAATGCCAGTCCATCACAGGTTACTCCCCATCTATTGCTGATACCCATTTACATATATTGCTCTGTTGAAAGAGGTCGATTGGGGCAAAGTGGCTTGCCTGAGGACACAAAGTATCCTTCCTCTGTGGTATAACCAACAGCTGGATTTATCTCCATGACCCTTTGGCCATGAGTCACAAACCTAGCCACTAAAGTTTCCATTAATTAACATTAACCCTAAATCCCTAGGCCTTTTTGCTGGGATGTAGCCTCAATCCTGCAAAATCCTCCAATTGGCCTCATGGAAAAATAGCAAATTCCTCCACCATTCCTGCAGTAACTGTCAATATGTTGAGGCTTGGCCAGTGACATCCCGGAGCAGTACAGAGGATTTCAAGCATAATCCAGGCCTATATTTGTGCATGGCTAAGCAAAAACAAAACACAAGGTCCGGCCCAAGACCTTGACAAAGTGCATCCTACGAAATCAGTAAAGCACTTTTGCCATATAACCTCAATCCTCCAAATTCCTCCACTTTGGCAAAGAGGATTTTGAAGGATTCAGGGTGGTTAGGGCTGATAGCACTCTTGGGTGTGATCCATAAAATCAAGATAGTCATAATGTCAAGCTTCTATAATGCCTGTTTTCAGGACCCCCGCGTACTGGATGCCATGATGCCATACTCCCTGGCCTACTTTGGCAATCCTCACTCCAGGACCCACTCCTATGGCTGGGAGAGTGAAGAGGCCGTGGAGAAGGCTAGAGCAGTAAGTGCCACACAGTAGTAAGCTTACTAGTGCAGACGTTTTACCACTCGACCACCAAGTCGGCCGGAGTCGGCTGGCTGGTGCGAATCTCATGTGGCAGCTTGTGCCGCAACCAAGCTTTTTTCCTTGCAAGCTCTCACACAAGATTGAGTATACAGCATTAATAGAAAAATGTCGGCATAGGGCAAAACCAAATGTAAAATCCATTGATTTTTGTTGATTCTTGTAGGATTAGGATTAGGATTACACAAGATTGAGTATACAGCATCAATAAAAAATGTTGACATAGGGCAAAAACAAATGTAAAATCCATTGATTTTTGTTAATTCTTGCTGGATTAGGATCTGGCTGGAAAGTACAGTACATGTTCCTATTTCCATGTACATAATGCAGTACTTCACACACACTTTAAAACTCCGATGGTGGGCTAAGTCAGAATTTGTCTGTTGCCCTCGAAAACGCCAACTGTTTACCATTATTTTTTAGACAAAGGCGACAGTTTTATAAAATGTCCAAAAAAAGTTACCTGTTAGGTATTTCAAAATGGAAGGAATTTTTTGAGAAAAGTGGTTGGCAAACTGTCAGCAGGAAGGCACACATGAAGTCTTTCTGTCAAATTTCTCACTGTTATTCCCGTCATACTTACAGCAAGTTGCAAGGCTGATCGGAGCAGACTCACGTGAAATCATCTTCACCAGCGGCGCCACAGAATCCAATAATATCTCTGTCAAGGTACAACAATTTATGATCTTTAAAAGTACATGTAAAAGGAACTCTTCGATGCTGATTTTTGTCGAGTTGATTCTTTTGTGTGTGTGTGTAAGTCTTTGAATTTCATAAGGTCTTGGTCTCCATTGAGTCAATGACTCGAGTTGAGTCCTGTTTGAATGGCGATTTGTTGTGACTTGACTGGACTTGAGGCGTTACTGGCTAATGACTTGACCCAACTTGACTCACTGCGAGCAGCGAGTCGAAACTTGACTCAATTTGAGTCACAATATTCAGTGACCCATCACAGACCTGACTATTTGTAGGGGATATGTAGTTTACTTAGTAAATATAACCCTGTCCCTCTGCGAACAAAATTACAGCTAAAATCTGTCTGGGGCCAATTCTATGAAGCTAACCCCCAAACCCACAAATGTTCTTATCCATCACTGAAAATATTATCTTATCACAAAAGGCTGAAATCCCCCTGATCAGCTCATTGAACTTTGTCTCTTCCGTGTCCCTTTTCCATTCATAAAGTTCATACCATATCTTAGCAAATTGTACCTTTCCGATTCACAAAATACTGATTTTGATTTCCTGCTTTCACAGGGTGTGGGCCGATTCTACAAGTCCCGCAAGAAGCACATTTTAACCACGCAAACAGTGAGTTGACCGTACTCCTAATTTCTGCATCTTTCTATTTTTCCCTAACCGCAAAGGTTCATTTTAATTGTGCAGAATCTTGTTGAATTGAGCATGGTTGGGGTTAAAAACCGCAGAGTTTTGGATTGTGGAAGTTCAGGATTTAACATTGAAATCCTAACATAGCAAATGCAGCAAGTCTCTGTGAATTATCAGGCATGCAAGTTTTCCTCGGATCCGCTGATTTCCTCGTTTTTATTTTTACTGCTCATGAATGCCATTACAAATGGATAAACACTGTACAAAGTCTTGTGTGGTTTGGAGTTTTTTCTTCTAAATTCCCAGTTGCATGCCTGAACTATGGAGGAGCTAATTTCCTGAAACTCCTTAGCACAGAAATTTCCTATGCACAGAAGACAAACTTGCTAAGTAAAGAACAGGTTACCAGCCAAATTGACATGCTTCATATACTGTCAGAGACTGGTACTCAGTAAAATTTTGCTTACCAAATGAATTTGATTCGCAAAAGTTTCTGCTGAATACCTCTCTAAAATTGGGCCCTGGGTTATTTCTTGAGTTAAAAAAAACTTCTGTAACTATGTTTGTCTCCACAGGAGCACAAGTGCGTGCTGGATTCCTGCAGAGCTCTGGAAGGCGAAGGATTCGAGGTGACCTACCTCCCTGTGCAAAGCAATGGAATCGTAGACCTTAAAGTAAGCGGGGATCTTCAGAGGAAGGCCTTGTCTGAATTTGCCTGGCTAAGGCTTGCCATAATACGGGGATCTGTCTGAGGTGGCTTGTGTTCTGGCAAGTCATAGCCAAGTGCTTTAGACTAAGTCAAGTTATTAGAATGAGGGATTTAGACTTAGAAATGTGTAGACTCCATGCAGGAACTTTAAATAGTGGTGTGAGGCCTACTAAGGAGGGCTTGAGTTGGACACCTTGTAAGCGTGCTCTTGTTTTCTTGTGCAGTGTGCGTGAGATTAAATTTCGAATGAAAGTGCAAAATCTGTACAGTTGTCATGCGAGAAGAAAAACCTGTATTTGAGTAACATTGGATGCACATATTAACCCTACCCCCCCCCCCCCCTCCCCGGTCCTTTTGGCTAGGAACCATCCTCAATCCTGCGAAATTCTCTAATTGCCACCGTGTAAAAATTGGATTCAGCCTCAATCCTCCAAAATCTTCCGTTATTTCTTGAATTTGTTGAGTGGAGGGGTGATCGCTGCCTCAATCCTTCAAAATCCTCCAGCAAACCTGTCAATGGATTGAGGCAGTGCCGATGACATTCAGAAACAGTGCGGATGATAACTAGCATAATGCAGGGCTCAATTATGCATGGCTGAACATAAACAATGCAGGGTGCAGCCTATGAACTGGACACAATACATCCTCCAAAATCCTCCAAAACTACCTGGACGATTTTGGAGGATTGAGGAGGGTTAAAGGGAATGTACATCATTGGCTTTTGCTGTAATTTTCAGAAATGAACTATTTTGAGGGGTTAGTATAACGGATCAAATATTGTTACACTGACATGTTTGAAGTTTTGTGTTCGAAAATGCTGGAAAAACCAAGAAAAAAAATGTTCAAGTAGTCTGGTTCCCTGACTCCACTAAAGATGAAATGGATCAATTTATAGATGCCGGAAAATTGTAAGGTAATGGAACCAGTCTAACTGGCCTGCACCCGTTCATGAACATGTAACCAATAGCAAACAAAATTTGGACTGAAAAAAAAAGGTAAATTTGGAGTAATAGCTGAAAAATAGTTAGGTTTTTCCAACAGTGGTCGGCCGACCACCGTTGGAAATGTATACAACATACCAGTTTTCTTGAAAATGACCTCACACCTGGTGACATAATTTTACAGGATGCTTTAGACTTTCATTTACCAACATCCTAGTAAGGTATTTCGTAAAAAATTTGTAGTTTTGTTTTTCGATGTTTGCAAGTGTTGTATATTCCCTTTAAGGTTAATCACAGTTAAAGGGAATATACATCATTTGCTTTTGCTGTAATTTTCAGAAATGGATGGAATTAGGGGGTTGGAAATATATAGCAAATATAGTTACACTTACTTTTTTGAGGTTTTGGGTTCGAAAATGCTATAAAAACCAAGAAAAACAATCATTTTCCTGTAGTCTGGTTCCCTGACTCCATATAAGAAGAAACAGAGCAGTTTACATACATTGGGGAATTGTAAGGTCAAGGAACCAGTCTAGCTGGCTTGTACCCGTTCATAGGTGTGTAATCGATTGCAAACAAGTGCGATGGTCAATTGGGGCCAGTATTTGAAGGAAAAAAACCAGTGTTTTCCAACGCTGGTCGGCCGACCAGCGTTGGAAATTGATACAAAAATACCACTTTTCTTGAAAATGACAGTATACCAGGTGCCATGATTTTACAGGATGCTTTACACTGTCATTCACTAACGGTCCAGCAAGGTATTTCAAAATGATTTGGTAGTTTTATTTTTTGATGTTTGCAAATGTTGTATTTTCCCTTTAAACCAAACCCACCAAGTCGCTACATATGTGCTAAAATGACCACTTTATTCACGGTGCTTGGCACATGAGCATTTGCAATGACGTGTTTCTACTGTGACGATGACAGGTGAATAGGATACACACAGTGAAATCTTGATTAGTCAAACCTCAAGGGAACAGGTTCAAAATTTGACTAATAAGCAGAGTTTTGAGTTGAGCAGGGTTGTATATCATTGTTATACTACTGAAGGGAATGGATTCTTTGTTTGACTTTACAGTTGTTTTGAGTTATCAGAGTTTGACTTATCGAGATTTCGCTGAACATGTAATTCGCCAATTCAGACCTATCTTCCAGAAAACAATGATAAGTAGCTGAAAGTCCCGTTAAAGAAAGTGAGGTAAATATGTTGTTTTTGGATTTACTGTGGAAATTGCTCGCTCTGTACCACTCAATACTAGAACACCATATTGTGTTCTGCTAGAGCAAATTAGAGCACAAAATTATCGAGGCCAATCAACCAAACTTCTTTCTTTTGTGGTCTAGGTTTTTGAAGAGGCTATTCGTCCAGACACAGTGCTGGCAAGCGTCATGATGGTCAACAACGAAATAGGAGTCAAGCAGCCAATACCTGAAATGGGTGAGATATTCATTTCCATTTTTGTGGAAGTCACTCTTGCAAAACTGAACAATAACAGATCAAGGCAAATGGCCACAGAAATGAGTCTAAAGTAAACCAATCACCGACAATTCTTGCAGAATTTGTGACAAAAATTGTCATTTCTCAGCATAAACTTGCACAATTGCCTCACATAGTATTGTTTTTTCCTAAAAATGAAAATCTCATACAAATCCTCAATCCAATTTTTTAACTTTGTTCACATTTTGTTCATATTTTTGTCAATTGCTTTCTCCAGGCAAAATCTGTCGAGCCCACAAGGTGTTCTTGCACACAGACGCAGCCCAGGCAGTGGGCAAGATCCCCGTAGACGTCAACGAGATGAACATTGACTTAATGTCAATCAGCGGACACAAGATATATGCCCCAAAAGGTAGGAGTAGGTCTCAGCCTGTGCATAATGGCCAAGTACCGTAACTCAGATGGTACCACCAATGACCATACATGCACGTAGATTGAACCTTTTTACACTTGGTCAGACTTTAACAATGGTACGGTAATAACAGGTCAAAATACACAGAGGTTGGAGTTCAACCTGTGTTGGAATCTAACCCGTTTTGGTAGTTAGGCAAGGGCACCATTCACACTTACACTGGCATGCCCATGTTAACATCCAACCCACATTGGAATCCAACCCATGTTGGCATCCAACCCGTGTTGGAATCCAACTCGTGTTGGTATCCGACCCGTGTTCCCTTAGAACACAGGTAGGCAGGGCGTACTGTTCACACTTAACACTGGAATGCTCGCCTTAAAATCCAGCCCACATTAGTATCAACTCGAGTTGGAATCCAACCCATGATGGAATCCAACCCGCGTTGGAATCCAACCCGCGTTGGAATCCAACCCGCGTTGGAATCCAACCCGCGTTGGAATCCAACCCGCGTTGGAATCCAACCCGCGTTGGAATCCAACCCGCGTTGGAATCCAACCCGCGTTGGAATCCAACCCGCGTTGGAATCCAACCCGCGTTGGAATCCAACCCGCGTTGGTATCCAACCCGCGTTGGTATCCAACCCGCGTTGGTATCCAACCCGCGTTGGTATCCAACCCGCGTTGGTATCCAACCCGCGTTGGTATCCAACCCGCGTTGGTATCCAACCCGCGTTGGTATCCAACCCGCGTTGGTATCCAACCCGCGTTGGTATCCAACCCGCGTTGGTATCCAACCCGCGTTGGTATCCAACCCGTGTTCCCTTTGATCACAGGTAGGCAAGGCGTACCGTTCACACTTACACTGGTGTGCACACCTGTCGGCTGTTGATATTTTTTGTTTTCTACCCAGGTAGAGCCTCTTAACCCTGGTCCCAACCAGGTTCGGACCAAGTGTAGAGCGCGGGACCCATGTGGAAGCCATGCTGGATTGTTGTCAGTGTGGAAGCTGTTCCTGAAATACAGCGATTTTGGGTAGTGTTAACGGATCCCTACGTAAGGAGGCAGCTCTGTACAACTCGGTCAAGTCCTATTATTATGGTTATTTGATAAGAGTTCTTGCTTGTTTGTCATCAGGTATTGGAGCGTTATATGTCCGTCGGCGTCCCCGTGTTCGCATCGAGGCCTTGCAGAGCGGGGGAGGCCAGGAGAGGGGTATGCGCAGCGGAACCCTGCCTACCCCACTTATAGTTGGACTCGGAGAAGCTTGTAACATCTCTCAGAAGGAGATGGAGGTAGGAATATTGAAGAAAAGTTCCTACACATTAAAATTCAACCCTAACCGCCCTGAATCCTTCAAAATCCTCTTTGCCAAAGTGGAGGAATTTGGAGGATTGAGGTTTCATGGCAAAAGTGCGTTACTGATTTCGTAGGATGCACTTTGTCAAGGTCTTGGGCGGGCCTGGTGTTCGTTTTGCTCAGCCATGCATACATGTAGGCCTGGATTATGCTTGAAATCCTCTGTACTGCTTCAGGATGTCACTGGCCAAGCCTCAACATATTGACAGTCACTGCTGCAGGATTTTGCAGGATTCAGGCAGTGGTCACCCCTCTGCGGACCATATTCTTGGAAGTATGGAGGAATTTGCAGGAATGAGGCTATATACTATTTTTCCACGATGTCAATTTGAGGATTTTGCAGGATTGAGGCTACATCCTAGCAAGAAGGCCTAGGGAGTTAGGGTTAAAGTTACAAATCTTAGTTCGAGCACTACAAATATAACTTCACCACTCGCCCTGTATGAATTTTCTGTCTCATCATGTTTTGCTCCCCTAGTATGACCACAAGCGCATCTCGGCCCTGGCCAACCGCCTCATCTCCAAGGTGACCGGCCAGATCTCGGACGTCATCCAGAACGGCGACCCCGATCAACGCTACCCGGGTTGCGTCAATCTCTCCTTTGCCTACATCGAGGGGGAGTCCCTGCTCATGGCGCTGAAGAGCGTAGCATTGTCGTCAGGCAGCGCTTGCACGTCTGCATCGCTGGAGCCGTCTTACGTGCTGCGAGCCATCGGGGCTGCTGAAGACCTTGCCCACTCTTCCATCAGGTACTAATGCTGCGATTGGTCATTTTTCTTCTTAAAGCTATAGTCCGTCATTTGCAGCCATCCGAAAAGTAACTGGCGTAATTACTGTTGAAAAACAAACTTGGTTGAAAGATAGTAAGGGAACTAAACTCCCTGTGAAATTATTCTTTCTGGGAAGCTGTCATTTTGAAGTAATCAACGAAAGAAGGCATTTCCAACGGTGATTCTTAAGAAGCACCGTAGGAAAATTTAAATTAGTAGTTCGTTTTGTTATTCAGCGCAGCGCGCACAAGTATTGGAACGACGCACACGCGCGCGCGGTTGTTATAATTCGTCGGATCAGTGCGCGACACCGCGTATAGCTGCAATTCAAAACAATTCAAAAGATGATTCAGTAACTTTTGATTTGAAATTGAGATCTTAGAATGCTGCTTTTCTCAATGTGCAGCTGAAGCTTAGCTGAAACTTCATCAGGTTAGTTGCTCAGTATCCTTCATTAGATTTTGAACACTTTTGTTGCTTCAAACGAACAAAATGCACTAATTACAAATGATGGACTATAGCTTTAACATTTATAGATGCACTCCCCTTGCTATTTTTCAGTTTCATCCTGAAAAATAGATTTAAACCTGTTTTCCCGAGGGTTGCAGACACCCTAAAAAGGACAAAGGAGATTTATGAGTTGAAAGAAAACATACAAGTTGAAAGTTTATTAAGAGGCAAATTATCAACTTTGTTGAAGAGCACAGGTTATGCAACTTGAAATGCCATGAAATAAAAGTGGAGAAAACAGGGTGTACAAACATTTTCTACTCAAAACTTGGATCTTGGAAGTTATAATCTTGTGCATAATCTCACAAAATGAGTACAAGATTGGCTAACTTAAAAGCTTTAATTTTGTTGACAAAATTAACCAACATTAGTGCTTGATAGCAAACATTGTTATACTTGTCCCGTTTAAAGTTTTGTGTTCATGGATGATAGAAAAAAAACAAGAAAACAACGCGTTCTTGTTGTCTGGTTCCCTGACCCTACTTCACGCGAAACAGAGCAATTTATTGAGGTCGGGGAATTGTCAGGTCAGGAAACCAGACTAGCTGGCTTGCAGATGTTCATGGATGCGTAACCGATTGCAAACAGAATGTGGACTAACTAAATTTGGTAAACTGAGGGCAGTATTTGAAAAAAGGTCGTTTGTTTTCAACGATTGTCGGCCAACCAACGTTGGAAATTGATACAAAAATTAATTACAATTGAATGTTTGGTTGAACAACAAAATTAACCAGAGGGCTGGATAGCTCTGTCCAGCAGAGCACCGGTGTAGTATTCTTGGGGAGTGTGGCCTAGTGGTTAGGGTTTGTGACTCATGATCAGAGGGTAAGGGGTTCGAATCCAGCCGCTGGTCATATGTTGCGTCCTTGGGCAAGCCACTTCATCCCCACTTGCCTCTCTCCACCCAGGAGCATAAATGGGTACCGGCATTAGCTGAGGAGTAACCTGCTATGGACTGGCATTACATCCAGTGGGGAATAGAAATATTCTCAGTCGTTTCATGCTATTGAAACCGGAGCTAAGGCCAAAAAAAAAAAGTTGTGCTTCCTGTTAACCTACCGATACCTACCCTATTTTGACAGCCCCTACCCTAATTTTTTTTGGGGGGGGGGGGGGGAAATGAGAAAAAAAACTCGAAAAATCACCAGTTCCTACCTTTTACCTGTAACTATATGCAGACACCTCCATATGATCGAACTCAAAAAAATTGTCAAAAACAAACCAATTTCCTTCTTACCTACCCTATTTTCAAATGATATATATAATTGGAAGCAGAACTATTTTTATTTGGCCTTAAACGCCGGCCTGATGGGCCACATTGGCTCGTGACAGACTTTAATTTTTACTTTTATTCCAGATGTCACAGGTTCAGGTCCCACTCCAGTCAGTGTCGTCGTCCATCCTAATATTGATCTGATGAAATTTAGATACGTGTCGTAAATTACTCAGACGTGTCTGCCTGGCCAGTCTCAATTTGTACCTGAAATCAATACAGACCATGTCCAGTTCTGTCACTTTTCTGTTTGTTGTCATTTGTTTGTCCCCCCCCCCCCTTCTCAGGTTTGGAATTGGCCGCTTCACAACGGAGGAAGAAATCGATTACACCGCACAGCAGTGCATCAGTAAGGTCACGGCCCTTCGTGAAATGAGGTATGTTGATACAGCTGTCTGGTTAAAAAAAATTACATGACACGTGTCAAGGGAATTAATTTCCTGCATTGTGGACTATGAGTGACATGTTATGTCAAAACCTGACGATCCGGGCTGAGTTAGAAATAGAGGTACTAACAAAAGTACGGGGAATTTGTTTTGATTTACATTTTTTTGTCAAAGTTGTGTGATTCTTACGATGTAATTATACCGTAAAAATTGCAGACATTTAGGGGGTAGTTTTTCCAATGTCTTTTTTTTTGGGGGGGGGGGGTTGCAAAATTTGTGATTCCAAAATATGCACGATTAGAATATACATGTACTAAAAAAGTTTCAGACATGGGGGTGAGTTTTTCCAATTTTGGTTGGTGTTGTGAACTTGTTGCAAATTTGATTCTGTAACATGTATGATTAAAATATGCTGTAAAAGTTTCAAACAACAATTTTACCTTCAAAGGTGATGTTTTAAAATGAGTTTGAATTGATGTATTGATCAGCTCGAGAAGTGGGAGAGAAAAAAGTTTCAACGCTGAAGTTCTCTTTTTGTTTTTACCTTCATCACATCACAAACTTCAAATGGGCTGTCATTTTGTAGCATCACCTGTTTTCGCCCAGCTGCTCAGAAGAGAGTTTTTAATTGGGAAAAAAACACACATTGACATTCAACAGCTGCAATTGCAGCAGTTTGCCTGAATTCAGAGGCATCGTTGCCAAGTGCTACTGTATAATTTGCAGGAATTTGGCTGCTCAGAAAGTCAGTGATATAAAGCCCTAAAAGCATTGTATTGAAGGGGCTTGATTTTCTTTGGTTCCTGCAAAATGTTGGATTCTGTAGGATTTAGGGAATTTTCCAGCAAAATGTCCCAGAGAGTTGAATGGAAAGGCCATTTTGGTAATTTTTCTTGTCATGGACAAATTCTGTGAATCTTTTAGCAATTACAAGGTTTTCGTTTGTGTTTTTTTTTCTCCACAGTCCTTTATGGGAAATGGTACAGGAAGGCATCGACATCAAAGAGATTCAGTGGTCCCAACACTAGAGGGCGCCGTTCAAGAACGACTGTAAGAAGGTTTTGAAGAACATCTGCTCTTGCAATTTAGCATTAAAAAAAGATACTAAAAATTGCAAATTTGAAAGGCCAATTCTAAAGTTTTTGAAATTACAGGCCAATCCACAGGCCAATCTACAGTCTGAGAATTGCGAGTTGTTGAAAACTCTTTTTTGAACAATATTCTTCCACATGACATGATTTTCTCACTGGGCGTTTCGTGCCATTTTAACACCATATAATCTCTTCGTTAAATTAAAGTTTGTTTTGGGGATAGTTGAGTTTGCTTAAAACTATTTCGAATACTTCCCTGAAGCACTTTTCTGCTAAGCCAATTGGGGCGATTCACAATGCAGTGCGCCAACAAGAGTTTGCCACGGAGAGTTCATTTTTCCGAGTGCATTGTGGGAGATGGTCGACAAATTCGCAGTGTGGGACATTTGAAATTGTTTGTTTTTCCGGCCACAAAGTTTGTACAAGTATGATTCGAATATACGTTTGCCCTTTTCTTATTATCAATATGGAGTTTTTTATAAGGCGGCAGAATGCTATGCCCCAGTCTATAACAAATAAGCTCATGTTTTCTACAGACACTCGTTCAAATGGGCCATGTTTTGTAGACCGTGAATTTTAAAAATGAACTCTCCGTGGAAAAGTCTTGGTGGCGCACTGCATTGTGATTCGCCCGAATTGGAGAAAATTTCAACTGATGAGGAGTTAATTTTGAAGTAAAGATTATTTTGTGTATTAAAGATGTAAAAGTTGTAAATAACTGTATGGTACTTTTCTTAATTCTTATTTAACTGTCCATCAAATTTTGAAGTTCTTTTTTTTGCATCCCTTGGTTTTATTGTGTTGCATGTGTTTCCACTTACCATGTCATAAATATTTATTGGTATTGTAGACAATTAAGCTACTCCTGTTGGCCAGAGGCCTGTCACGTGACTTGTATTAAAACGTTAAACAGTGCTTCAATTTTGAAATATGCTTGCACGTGGCGCCATGATCTCAATATATGAGGCTGTACGGTTGGCTATAGATATCCGGCCGTCAGGCGCACTGGCGCACTGGCGCACTGTATCCGGTATTAGTAGGATTCGGAACAATTTTTCTGATCACGACGTTATCATTGTTTGCCTATTGTGGATAAAGTTTTCTGCTACTTATACCAAATAATTTTTGAGACGACCTGTAGTAAAGAAAGTCAATGCAGTGTGTTGTAGTGGGATTTCAATTCGGATTTGTACAAATTCGGTTAGAATTCCACTAAAAAACCAGGTCTGACCGGATATGTACGCCTGTCCACAACAATCAGAAATAAAGGCGAAGCCTGTCTACATTTCAGCACTGATTTGCAAGTGCCCTTTTTGAGAAAACAAATTTGACCTGCCACCCCACCCCTGCACAAATTCCTGCATGCGCCCCTGACCTCGCTATGTCAAAATAAGAAAATTCACCAAATTGGGAAACCGTACTAAAGCATTATTTATACAAAAAAAATAAGTTCCATACAAACAGCATTTGTTTTGGTTCCCCAAAGGCAAGTACAGTCGAGTCTCGTTTTAACAAACTCGTTCGGACCTAGCCAAATTGTTTGTTATATCAGAATTTTGTAGTAAGAGGAACATCAGTCCCATTCATTGTGCACATAAATGCACAGTCGGGACCAAGGTTTTATGTTTGTTATAACCAGAATTTTGTATTAACAGAGTTTGTACTAACGAGAGTGGACTGTATTTTGTGTAAATATTTTATTTTTCTTTGGATGAAGTTGAAGGAAAGAAGTAAACATGGAGCATTTCTGGGGGTGCACTAATTCAACTATAATAAAACTGAAAAATTTCACGCACCAGGTTTTTTTTGATGATGAATGTCCTCATAATTTCTTAAATTAAAAAACTATTTAAAGCTTCGGAGACAAACAGGCCGTGTACTTTTTCCTCACATCTGGCGGGTAAATTATCTCAACAGCAGTGAAAATATTGATGGGAGATGCGTTAGGATGGCTTAAATCGCGAACGGAGAATGTCATTCCAGTCTTCTCACGATCAAGAAGTGAACATTTTTGTTTTGGTCATTAAAAATTTTGTCCTGTGCGCATATTCCTTCAGAAATCAGCGACGACGGTAGATTTTAAGATTCTGTTTTAAATTAAATCTGTATTGAACAAAATTTGATGTATAATGCCTATTGTAAATAAAACATTCTGCATAAAACAGAATGTATATTGTTGCTTCTGTTGTGCTATTATATTTTTTGTGTAAGAGAAGGAGACTTTGAAACACAACGTGAATAGTTAGTATTCTTTCGGCAAAACGAAAACACTTCTCATAGGGATGCATGTGAATTGTTTTTGTTTTGCTGAAAGAACACTTACTTTTTTTGGTGATCCGTGGACAGAACTTTAAAACGGTGTTTGTGTTCAAAATTCCGTAACTTGAAAAGTACATGTACATGAGTGATTTGAGTGACTCGTACTAAAAGAAATCGCATTGATTGGGCTTTAATATCCAAGATATTGAAAGTGCTACGGGCAAAACTTCATTCAAAAGTTGGTCCTGCCATGTATTTTTTACTCACCCAATACATTCCTGACAACTTTCTATTTGTAAGACTAATTACTTGACCTCCGAAGTGATTATTTTGTTTTGATGAGAAACCTAATCGAAAATTGGTAATTATGATCTATCAGTTTCCACATCGTATCTCAAAAACGGTAATTTCAAATCGAGGAAACAAAACCCTAAAAAATTAAGAAGTTTGCTGGATCTGTCACGCGCGATGTTTATTTGCACTGAAAAAACATGCCATATGCGCGTAATTCTATACCATCTTCATTACAGGGTAAAGTTCGTAAGATCGGATTTCTTCGTTAGTCTTGGAAGTGATGTATTTTTCTGTTGAGAAACCTAATCGAAAATTGGTAGTAATGATCTAATCAGTCTCCATGTGATATCTCATTAACAGTTAATAACATTTTGACCATCATCATAGGGGTCTACAGTATGGGCGTCAGGATTTCAATTTAAAAAAACCTCGAAGTTAATTGTTTTTGCTGGATCTCATAGGAGCGATTTATAATTGCTTCATGACTGGAAGAAGTGCTATATGAACGTTTAATTCTACATCTTCGCTCAAAGCGTCTCGAATAACGCGTCATGAAATCGTGTACATATCGCTATATGATGACAGTAAACGTTGTTCAGCTTCAAACCTGAAGCCAACCGGTATTTTCCCCTATTTGTGTTTGGAGGACGCTCTGCGTCTCTTACCAATTTAGTTGTATAAGAATAACATGTTATGTGTGAATGTAAGAATAGAAACGGCCTCCTCTTTTAAACAATATTCGGGGGAAAATACCTTTTATTTGAAGCGTTAGAAATCCAACCTTAGTGGCAGATTTACGGGGGAGGGGCTTGGGTTGGTTGGGGAGGGGGGGCGGATGCTAATATGCATATTTATGCATAAACTATATATCAATTGGCATTGTAAATATGGCTGCAATGGAATCGTTGACCCTGGAAAAAATGGGTCTAGACTCCTCGATTGATGGGTTTGGACGAGATCCTGCAGAGATATATGGAAAAGTTGTATTTCCCGTAATGGCGGCAGCTAATTTGCATATTCATTGATTAAAAACATTCTCAAGGGTACCAGGGTGGCACCCGTGGGAATATTGATCTACAAGGTCCAAATGACCAGAAAATGCGAACACATTTTGTGCGGACCTTAATTCACGGTCCGCCTCCAAATTCCGGTTTGACACCCGGACTCATGCATGGGTGCATACCTATGTTCCCCAATACCTTTGTTCCCTAACCCTCTTACCCTAACCCTAAACCTAACCATAAGGATTTTTGGGAACATAGGTATTGGGAAACACCGGGTAGATGCATTGCGGTTCGCTCATAAGTCCGACGCCTCATTGGTCCGACGCCTCATAAGTCCGACAAAATCGCATCCCCCAACCAAATAAAGGTCCATAAGTCCGACGCCTCATAGGTCCGACGCCTCATAAGTCCGACGCCTCATAAGTCCGACAGCCATTATTAATTAATAGAAATATTGCGTAAAATGTCAGAATGTTAGTGCCTCTAATTGTTCGAGTTAGTGATAACACATTGACATTAAGGGATGCACCAGACCCCCCCCCCCCCGGATTTACGCACGGTAGCATCACCCCTTGCGCCAAAAACTGTGCTCTGGCGGACTGATCTGCGGCCAGTTAGTTCATGCTATGCACAGTGCGCCGTTCGTCGCGGACTTAAACGTCGTAAATTTTTGTTTTTAAATCTCGTTCTTGCATTGTCGGACAAATGAACCTTTTCTGGTAACGGTCCATAGCTCCGACGCCTCGTTTTTCCAACGTCGGACTTATGAGGCATCGGACTAATGAGGCATCGAACCTATGAGGCGGAATAAATTAATGTTATGCCTCATAAGTCCGACACCTCATAAGTCCGAAATTTCGGACTTATGAGGTGTCGAACCTATGAGGCGTTGGACTTAATATGATACGGCCCCGATGCATTACGTGAGGCTACTGCTGGAAGTATCAGTTTGGTTTCAGCAAGAGATGTTTTTAATGACACTGCAGTCGAGACGAAGCCATTATTAAAGCCTGACTACAAAGCTGAGATTAGAATGATTATGAGGGCTTTGCAAGATACCTTGATGGCACTTGACCGTGAGTATAAGTCGATAAGATGTGATGGATTTAGTCATAAATATTCCCAGGTGTACATGATGACGTAAATCGGGACATTTGTTATGGGGGAGCTCCAGCTATATACGATATATAGCTGTGTCCTTCATCTTCTTGCAGCCAGATTGGTTTTTGGATTATCTGCAAATACTGGCCTTGTGTTCAAATCGAACATTCTTTAGGAGAAAAACGTCCATTTTTTTTTAAAAGAGCACAAGGTATTCGCCCCTTTGTCTTACACAATAATAATTGGAAGGGACAGAAAGCTCAAACTACCCATCAAGCAGATAAACTTCACAAGGACTCTAGAAAGACTGCATTTACTTCTGATCATCCTGACTAGATACTGTCAAACATTTTACGTATATTTTTCAATTAAGGTGCACTCAAGGACGAACCCCCCCCCCCCATTTCAATCATGAAGTGAATTTTGAACATTGTAATAAGGCCACGATGATGGAATTGCTTTCAGAGGAAACAATGTACTACGGTATTGCTGGCTATAGGAATGATCATGGGCTCCGGACAATGGGAAATAGCTTGACGTCCAAATTTCTACACTGATGGTCGTTAGATAATGCTGCCTTTTTATGGAGTCATTTGAAAGTTATCTTGGGTTATCTGCGCATGTAAAGGAGGAATATCCAGCACCGTGTTAAGAGGCATACGTTTTTGGTAACCGCTCGATTGCCAGAAGATTCGATAGTCCGAAGGGTCGTTAGTGTGAAGGTTCGCGTTAGTCCGGAGGTTCGTTATAGTCCGAAGGTTCAATAGTCCGAAGGGTCGATATGTAGTCCGAAAATAGAATAAGGTTAAATAATCCGAAGGTTCAATAGAACGAATAGACGATAAGGTTTGATACTCCGAATCGACAATAAGGCTCAAGAGTCCGACAGCATTAAACATTATTGTAAATTCGGACTATATTAATTCTGATGTGCTTTCGGATTAAGGAACCGCCTTCCGACTATTGAACCTTGGGTTCGTTTCGGACTGTTGAACCTTCGAACCGTATTCTAAATTCGGACTACCGAACCTTCTGACAAATGAACCTTCAGATTATCGAACCTTCGGACCAACGAACATTCGGACTATCGCATCAAAGGCGGCTCGGATTAACGAACCTTATTTCATTTTCAGACTAAAGAACCTCCGGTTAAGGGAAATGTGTGTGTTCGGGCATCCCAGCAGATGGGAGTTCTGGGGTACTTGCATTCTTGTCCTTTTATCTCTTTCCTTTAGAATTTCACTTCTGGGGTACCGTTTTTCTGAGGGTGAGTAGTGGGGTAGCATTGTTCCCTAAATTTCCCTTTGTACGAGTATCAATAAACCTCCGGACTATGGAACCTTTTTTGATATCTCTGAAATATTATCGCCGTATATATAGCTAGCACTGTGTCGATTGGACATCAAATAAACCGTTTTTCAATGAGTGCATTTTACGGCTTTCATAGCGAATTATAATATGAAGGCTTTGTTTAGGCTCCCCAAAAGTCTCCGGTTTCTGGTATGTAGCTTGTCCACAAAGTGGTGCAGTGAGGCGGCTTAGCTTTTTTTTTACCGTTTTTTTCTTGAAATGTCGGCTGATGACTGCAAATGGTGCCCGACTAAACTTAGTGCAAATATATGGGAGTCTCGATCGTAACCCCATCTAAAAACACGTTAAAATTTTGCAGCAACAGGATTCCAGTCAAACCAGTGAGTTTGACGGTTTTGACACATCATCTTTCATTG